TTCCCGAGCGCTATGACATGTCCTTCTTCAAACGAGACTTGTGGAGAGTACTTAACGGAGGCAGCGGCTTGGCTCTGCTTGGCATTGCTGAAGTCCATGGGCGACGGTAACCACTGACCATCAGGTGGGGCTACTCGTCTGCCTACAAGGGCAATAAAAAAAAAACGCGGAATTAAGCTGTAATACTCGTAATAGTCTTAATTATGTCTATGACACGCAAAAATCGGGTACAAAATAAATACTACGACATTACATATCATGTTGTAATAAAGTAACAAACACGCAAATAATTGAAGAACAGTTTCACAGTTATCCAATTTCGGAACGCAACCTAACTGGTCTCCGATTTCCTTCGATAGAGCAATAAAGCTACAGAAAATGCCAAACGTAACTCTGCCACGTTTAAAATTTAGCGTGACGATTTAAACGATTATATTGATCGCGGTAGACGGAAGACGGTAGACGGACTGGAAGACGTAGCGTGGGTAGGCCTCCCATAAGGTGGGCCGACGACCTTTTGAGGTTCGCGGGGATCCGCTGGACGCAGGCAGCGCAGGACCGGTCTTTGTGGCGAGGCTTGGGGGAGGCCTATGTCCAGCAGTGGACGTCCATGGGCCGACAGAATAGAATAGAATAGAATTGATCGCGGTCACAAGTAAACATGGCATAAGCAAACAAATTATAAGTCCTGTCGTTGGTGTGGTCGGGTAGCTTAAATTTCATGATGTATTTTAGAAATTATTGAATTTTTTTTTTTGGTCAACTTATTTTAATGAAGCCAAAGGTCAAATTGATTTAAGATGGGACCGCTTTAAAATAGATTCACATTCAGGGTTTTCATATGGCTTTTATTAAGGTATGATGTCGTCTGATATCTATGTACATATTATGTACAATTCTTTAATTCGTTAACAATAGCTGAGTAACTGAGCTGTAAATTCGAGTATAATGTTTTTATTTAAACAGCACCAGCGACCCGCCCGCGCTACGCTTCGGAAACTGTAATTTATTATTGATTTCTCCACTATTTAATGGATATTATTATACATATAAACCTTCCTCTTCAATCACTCTATCTATTAAAAAAAACCGCATCAAAATCCGTTGCGTAGTTTTAAAGATTTAAGCATACATAGGGATATGAGGACAGAGAAAGCGACTTTAGTTTTATACTGTAGTGATTTGCATATGAGTTTAAGCCTGCTAGAAGCTTATTAGCACTAAGAAATAAAAATAAATAGATATAGATTTTAAATTTTCATTCTAAATTTCGTACATAAAAAATCGTCTGACGGATGCGGTTTAGTAAACAAATTCGTGGATCGATTTAACGCCCGTCAGTGAATACAAAAGTTAAACTTTAGTTGAATAATATTTACCAAAATAACAAAAGAAACTGCCTATGTAATGTGTATCGTTGTAAAAATCAATAGGGCGATGCCAAAATAAATATTCAGCTGTGTATTGACTCTTAATGGGAGTCGATCCGCTACGCGAGGTAGTGTTCAGGTGTAATCCTAACCTGCATTGCACCCTTACATAATAATTTATGTGCAACGAGAACGAAGTGATCTGTAGGGCGCAGTGTGAGTTTGTTATTATATTTAAAGTTTATGATGCTTCAAAATGTTTTTTGTTAAAATATTAAATCAATGAAATGTTAATGTTATGAATGCACCCGGGTGACGCGGTTGTTGATCGTGCACTGACGATTTGTCGAAATAAAGTTAACGCGTCACGCGAATTATGCTGAGAACGGTGTTCGGTAATATATCACCGAACAGTATCACTCTCTTTCCTTTTGTTTTTAATTACCCTCCCAGAGGACAAGTCTAAAGCCTACCTAATCATGAGTTGTTCTCGGTGATCATTAACCTTGGGCATGCTGGTGGGAATCGGTTAAAGGAAGATCTTCCACTGAGCGGATGAAATTGGTAGGTAGAGACGATTTGAGATTGACGAGAATGATTTACGCATCTATACATATAAATAAAATTGAAGTGTCTGTTTGTAATATTGAAATAGCCTCTTTTTACTACATGCATATGAATATATATACGGTAAATACACCAAAATAACATTTTTTACAATTTTTGTCTGTCTGTCTGTTTGTTCCGCTAATCTCTGGAACGGCTGGACCGATTTTGACGGGACTTTCACTGAGAGGTAGCTGATGATATAATGCGTAACTAAGGCTACTTTTTTTTAGACTAGCTTCGCCCCGCGGCGTCACCCACAGTTATTGTCGTACCGCGCGCAAAATGGCGGGCTTCGCCTGTCAATAATAAAATTTAATGTTTCCGAAGCGAAGCGAGGGTGGGTCGCTATCAATAATAAAATTTAATGTTTCCGAAGCGAAAAGAGGGCGGGTCGCTATCAATAATAAAATTTAATGTTTCCGAAGCGAAGCGAGGGTGGGTCGCTATCAATAATAAAATTTAATGTTTCCGAAGCGAAGCGAGGGCGGGTCGCTATCAATAATAAAATTTAATGTTTCCGAAGCGAAGCGAGGGCGGGTCGCTATCAATAATAAAATTTAATGTTTCCGAAGCGAAGCGAGGGCGGGTCGCTATCAATAATAAAATTTAATGTTNGTGTCGTGGATAACGACTTTTAGTTGTCGTGGATAACGACTTTTAGTAATATTAAGACGGTGGTTTTGATTATTATTTTAAATGATGAGATGTTGTTTTGATAAATATCACAAAATGAAGGGTAGACTACGTAACGCCACAGTATAAAATGGCGGTACGTGGACAGAGTCGTGGCATTCCGTGTCAGACAGTCATTCCGTCCGTCTGTCAGTCGGTCTGTCGGTATGTGCAACGAAACTGTCGGTTTATCCTGTCATTGTGAAAGTTGTGTGTGTTGAGTTTCAATAATTGTTATTCAAAAAGTTTTATTAACTAAACTGAGTTCAATCGAATACGAGTGATGACGAAACTACCGCTCAGCCATACCTGGCGGGCTCCGAAATATATTTATCTACGACGCCTTGAACTTACCTACCTGCAAGCTCGATTTGATTCCAAATTACATCCAAAAGGTTTATTCAACATCAAAAATATTTATATCCAGTTTAATATTCCAGTCGAAGCGCGGTATGTATAAATAATATTCTAATGCCGTGCCCCGTGCCCACACAAGTCTAAGGCAGACGTCGCCTACACGCAAAAGGTAATAAATTAATTATTCACGGTACATAGGGCGATGAACATTCTGTTTACCGAAGCGCTTGCTATGTTTTGTTATATTAATCTTATGATGAACTTTTTAGATGTATGTCTTTTTTTTATTGCTTAGATAGGTGGATGAGCTCACAGCCCACAGGTGTTAAGTAACTACCGGAGTCCATAGACATCTACAATATAAATGCCGGCACCCACCTTAATATATGAGTTCTAAGGTCGCAGTATAGTGACGACTGCTCCACCCTCAAACCGAAACGCATTACTGCTTCACGGAAGAAATAGGCAGGGCGGTGGTACCTACCCGTGCGGACTCACAAGAGGTCCTACCATCAGTAAATTCGGTGGTAAGTAAAGTACCATCAGTATTTTTACGAGCTCTGGCTGCTGAGGTTGGGGATAAATAAGTGCTATTTACTGAAATACTAACTAAAACTCAATTTGATTATTACGACGCTTTTTTTATTTTACAATAAAATCATTTTTTCTTACAGTATATTTAGTTCAAATTTATTAACATTTATTTTCTATTTTTTAGTTGGCGTTCCTATAAAAGCGTATTTTTTTGTTTTTTTAAACTATTATTTATTTTTAATTTTTTTTTTTAATTTCAATTTTATCAAAAAAAAATTCATTTCTTTTTAAATATTGTATTGTCATCGGTCTTTAACAAGTACACCAAATTTCGAGTTAATCCGACGTTTTGAAGGGGGTCAAAATCATGTTCAAAAATTCCGTTACATACTAACATACATACGTCTAAAGCTAATAAAAGCGTATTAAAAAGTACATATAACCGATAGCAGCTGAATACCAAAACAATTAGTGATCTGTCCCGAAGATAAAATACGAGTATGAGCTAATGCTAAAATCTGAGCGATGCTCGTAAAAGTCCAGGCTAAAGCACATTGATTTAGGGGGGAAGAGCCCTGAGTACAGTGCAATTTCGAACTGTATTGGAGGAAGCTAAGCAACTATAGCAAGTAACAGGCAACTATACACTCACAACATAAAATGGAAGGTAGATATAAATAAAATACGTTATGCTATGGTATTTGACTAGGAGGTCAGCTATTTTTTATTGCCCTTGTAGGCAGACGAGCACACGGCCCTCCTGATGGTGAGTAGTTACCGTCGCCCATAGACTTCAGCAATGCCAGGGGCAGAGCCAAGCCGCTGCCTACCGCTTAATACTCTCCACAAGCCTCGTTTGAAGAAGGACATGTCATAGCGCTCGGGAAACACCGTGGAGGGGAGCTCATTTAATAGCCGGATGGTACTTGGCAAAAAAAGACCTCTAGAAACGCACTGTGGATGACCGCAGTGGCTCCAGGTAGTATGGATGAGCTCCACTCCGGTGGCGGGCGGTGCGATGGTAAAAACGAGATGCCGGTATCATCTCGAACAATTCCTCAGAGCACTCCCCATGAAACAGCTTTTAGGTGTTTTGCTTTTACCAGCGGACCCACATGTAAAAGCTAGGACCGTACCAGGAGTCCAGACCGTTAGGTTTCTTCATATCTTATCGCGAAAAACAAACAACCGCATCGTCGATACAGCAGGCAATTTATAAATGACGTCATATCGAGTGTTCAGGTGAACAAAATTATCAAAGCGTGCAATGTACATTGACATTGTCAATGCCGAACCAACTAACAGATAATGGACCTGCTGTTATCTACCCACGTTAATACTGATAACGATCATTCGAGTTTTGTATTGCGAATATTACGCAAGCAATGATCGCGTTGGCCTTAATTAAGAATTATAAATTTGAAAAATAAATAGTATTGAATTAATGTATGCACTCACCCGAATATATCTTTCTAAGTCCGGAGGTATATGTTCTTCCAATTCATACAAAGTCTTGTTTTCTCTTTCTTTCTTGTCTTCGATAGAGTCATCTCTATCACACGCAACACTATTTTCAACCTTCAACTTTTCCTGGCTAGTATCATTATTAGCATTTTCTTTGGTGTCTTCAGACTGTAAGCAAAATTTGATACTTTAAATATATCTCGCCCGCGTCCAACCGTACTGTTGCTGCCTGTTATACGATAGATTCTGTTTTTTATTTTATTTTTGAAAGAAATAGAAAGACGAACTCAGTTGACCCCTAGAGAGCCCAAAAGAGCCCATTAAGAGCTCATTCATTAATGCCGAATCTCAAACTGAGAGATAAAATCGAAACCTCAAACATTTAAATTAGTAAATGTTCAATGAATGATAAATAAACCAGCAAAATGATCGTGTATGATTCAATAATGACGTCGCACCTGACTACATTTAATAATTAAAAAAACAATTTCTGATGTGACAGTGGTACTAAACANGCCCAAAAGTGCCCATTAAGAGCTCATTCATTAATGCCGAATCTCAAACTGAGAGATAAAATCGAAACCTCAAACATTTAAATTAGTAAATGTTCAATGAATGATAAATAAACCAGCAAAATGATCGTGTATGATTCAATAATGACGTCGCACCTGACTACATTTAATAATTAAAAAAACAATTTCTGATGTGACAGTGGTACTAAACATTTTATGCTTAACCTTTCATCGATTGAGTATAAAATGGAAACAGTTCGCAGCAGTTGTTTATGTTATTATCCACGCTCGTTTGTAGGGTTGTTACCTGTGAGTTTTTTTTTTGTGCACCTATTGAGGCAATGTCACACACCTTACCATGACCGCCTTACCATGACGAAATATATGACTGCCATCACACATCTTACGACCTGAGGCTGTAGTGTCAAGTATGTAGTTGAATAGCGGTCCTTAGATCCGGAATGCATGCCTCGTAACAGTAAGATGGAATCGATCAGTACAGACTCAACTTTTTTTTTAAAAAAATTTCGAAATAAGAATTCCAACAGCCTATTCCAGATTTTCCTTTTCCTTCCGTTACCTTATGTTGTAAATTGTTGGCACTTACTCTACCAAGGTTCGAAGGATGCTTTCAGATAAACAACGCAAGAACGCATGTAAGTTAAACGCATTAATTGCACCCACATTAATATTATATCTAAAAATTAAAAATTAATTAAATTAAAAAGTGCCAGCCCTACCCAGTAAGTGACCTTAATGACTAAACGTGCAGGGCTGGCGGGCCAGCGTATGATTATTATCACAGGACAACCAGGACAATGAACAGTTAATGTATAATCAATATCATATAACTGGTCCAACTAATATTTATATTCATTCCTGTAATTGGCAACATGCAGTCTGTAGTGGCAGGTAACGGCAATGAACACAGGGAACTGCAGGAGTAGCACCTATGCTGCTTTTTACATCTGAATGGGGAGGAGAGATAGATCAATACATGTGGGTTCATAAAGTTTACTATACATGTTTACTGACATTTTCCATCACGACCTAAGCAAGTGTAGTGTTTTTTCACAAAGCCCGCATGCAAATAAACTCTCTCCAGGTCATCCGATCTAGTTTTTACAAGATAGCCGTTGGAGGACTGCTGTACGTGAGGAATGTCAATGTTCACAACGCCTTTTTGAGGAGGCTTAAACGACAAAGGGAAGATCTTCACCGAGCCGGCGATATTAGCTCGGTAGACCGATGGTCCAAATGTTGTTGTTCGGAACTTGTATATATGCGAGCTTAACTTGAAAATGTCGTAAGCGAGATTCAGGCATCTGTCAAATATCTTGCGTTTTATGATGGCTACCNGTACGTGAGGAATGTCAATGTTCACAACGCCTTTTTGAGGAGGCTTAAACGACAAAGGGAAGATCTTCACCGAGCCGGCGATATTAGCTCGGTAGACCGATGGTCCAAATGTTGTTGTTCGGAACTTGTATATATGCGAGCTTAACTTGAAAATGTCGTAAGCGAGATTCAGGCATCTGTCAAATATCTTGCGTTTTATGATGGCTACCACCACAGCCTTCAGTTTAGAACCAATAGACTGGTTTCTGACTGGATCTTTTCAATGGGTCGCGATTCGGATCTGGTGTTAGATTCTGCTAAGCACTGCTCTTGCTGGGGCCATTATTACCACATTCTCTCAGGTTGAGCCGTGTGAGCTTACCTACAAATCACGGCGTTGCTGGAAGACCCCCTTAGGCTACTGCACCTTAGGCTAATGAATAGGTAGGAAAAAATAATTGTCTTTTACTGGTTTTTGGGCCTATAAGATCCTATACAGGTATTATTATTATGTTTTAACACACTATCAGCTAAATAGGCTGATTTTTGTATGTCTTCATAATTGAGAATCGGCGACTGTATTCTCAATGAAGTTCACTCTAAGTATCACCACTTTCCTATTTATTTATTTATTTCTGTCATGAAGCAGTCTTGTACTCCAGCTCGAAGGCTCAGAAAGCCATTTTACAACCGAATGGATACTTCTACCTTATACATAAGTAGGTTATAGAATAGGTAGTTATAGAAGTCGTCGTGACCTAAAGGATAAGACGTCCAGTGCATTCGTATTGAGCGATGCACCGGTGTTCGATTCCCGCAGGCGGGTACCAATTTTTCTAATGAAATATGTCTTAACAATTGACTCGATCACGATTGACTTCCATGGTGAAGGAATAACATCGTGTAATAAAAATCAAACCCGTAAAATTATAATTTGCGTAATTACTGGTGGTAGGACCTCTTGTGAGTCCGCACGGGTAGGTACCACCACCCTGCCTATTTCTACCGTGAAGCAGTAATGCGTTTCGATTTGAAGGGTGGGGTAACCGTTGTACCTATATTGAGAACTGAGAACTTATATCTCAAGGTGGGTGGCGCATTTACGTTGTAGATGTCTATGGGCTCCAGTAACCACTTAACACCAGGTGGGCTGTGAGCTCGTCCAACCATCTAAGCAATAAAAAAAAGGTATGTAGCAATCATGTAATATCTACAGGCTATGAGTATATCAATGGGGCTATGAAAGTTGTATGTCCTTTAGGTCCTGCATGTTAGCTAAAGCAATAAAAGAAGATCCAATTGTCAGTAAGGCTGGAAAACACAGCATTTTAAACTTTTGGCAAATCAATTAATTATCATACATACATGCTCTGACCAAAACTAGCAGTGATGCAAAGCTTGAAAAAAATATGCATTTCAGCACACCATATAAATTGGTCACAACACAAAAAACAAAATAAAAATAAGGTAAAAAATACTATAACAGCTAACAACCCTACCAACAAACATGAATACCAACATAAACATCAGTATTCAAAATGCTATTTGAAGATTAAACATCAATACCCACACATAGCTAGTATTTTATTTTTAAAATCATATCTAGTCCTATAACTAGTCTTGAATTAGTTTTAAATCTAAGTCCATAATGGTAAAATCGAACTTTTCATTTATATTTATTTGGTAAAAACAAAAGCATCACAGTCTAGTATATAAATTAGAACATGCAAATGTACAAGAGGGGCATTAATAACAATTGTGAGATGATTAATTGAGTACACAAAGTAGGTAATCGACAATTATACATTAGAAAGCTTCATTACTACAGACTAAGTATTATTATTATAAGTCCAAATTTGTGACAACTCTGTGTGACATTACAAAACTAGAAAAGAAAGCTTTTTGGGTTTTCCATCTCTATGGACACCATTGTACAGGCAAGTCGGTACTACCCACTGGAATTAAGACGTATTGCAAGTGTACATTTTCATTGCCATCAACCAGCCTTTTCATGGCACTAAGCTAATAGTTTATTTATTTATTTGGAAAACCAATGGTATGATACACATGATATGTAGAAAAATAGCTAAAGCTATAACTTAGACTTCGAAATTTTTTTTTGTCTTGAAAGTGTGTTTTGGTCTCAAAATGTTTATGGTTAAAATTATTTTTATTATCTTCACTTAATTTTAAAGGTCTATAAAATTACCCTATTGGTCATCAGTGCTAATACTGATGTTGGTATATTGATCTCTAAATTAAGTTGGCCTCTAAAAATATTTGACAGAGTTGTAAGTTTATATCATTAAAGAGTCCAAATTTTATACAATTTTATTGACTGAATTAAGTTTTTATCTGATACAACTGTTTCAAATGTTGTTTAAAAGGAATTTTATTTGATACATGGTATTTATAAATAGAATGAGTTTTAATAAGTAAATAATAATTCAATTCAATTAAAACTATATCAGTTTGTGTAATTAAAAATTCTGTACCAACACTTTATGAAAGAATCAAATAACATTGTATTCGTTTTTAGGTATTTTATTCATACGTACTTTGTATGTTAAGACTAAATTTAATTAGATAACAATAAAAAATTATACACAGCACATTTTTCGTTTTTTTGAAACTGTAAAGTATTTCCAGAATTTTTAAAGTATATTCGTGTAATTATTAATGACATTACTATAATATCTATAAAGTCATCCACTGTTGCAAAAATATTTACTAGTAGATAATTTTATTAAACGTTATAAAAAACATACCCCACTCTTAGTGTTGTAACCAAATATTTTATTGCAATACCACATCAAAAACTTTAGAAAAAACTCTCTGCGCGCATAATGTACATTTGTATATAGCTGGATGCAGTGGAAAACGTCTGCATGCGAACGCAAATCGATTATACTGCACTGTGCTTTACTATCCGACCTAGGTATTTAGATGCGCGAAAAATCAATAATTTATTTCCCGCCTAATCAACAAGTTGCCGTTTTTCTTACCTTTGAAACTACATGCGAACAACTCAGTCCTAATATTGATTTTTCTTTCTGTATTTCTTGTTTTTTGGTTGCGATTAACTTGTCCAGGTTGATAGCTGATAGCATTTTTATGTTATCCTTCTTTATGATAGGTATGATAGGTATGATGATCTTTTCCACTTTCGATATTACATATTTCAATGGTTTCCCTGTAATGTTATTGTTCCTATATGTAGTAAAAATATTTAAATTTTAAGTTTTAATCATTCGGTAACTATAAAAAATAAAAAGTCGTTAAAATGTATGAATAAGTTTGAATTTGTTTTGTTATCATTGTTATGACATTCTGACTTTTGGTTGATAATGTTAGTTACATTCATCCATGGGATAGGCAAACGGAACGTAGCTTTAACCACCTTTGTAAAAAATATAAAGTACAAAGGAACAAAAAAAAATGGATTCACAGAAGTTAAATGTTAATAAGCCAACATAATGTTCGTTGAATAAATGACACAATTCACCAAACTTGATACATCGTGCTCCCACCAAAAATCTGACTTTTAAGTTGTCTCGGTATTTACTATCGGCGCTTCTAGACATTCCAAGCACCAGTCACCGTTCTCGTCGAACCTGTCGAATGAGATAAAGAGTTCGGTGAGAATTTAAACCACAGACACGGTTCACCGAGTTTCTTGCCGAATTATCTCAGTGGGTCACGACCACGAGTCACGACTCGCGATTCCGATTCGATAGTATATTTTGTAAAGCACTGCCCTTGCTGGACTAGTTAGCATATAAGCCAGTCTGAGCCCCGTGAGCTCGTCTACACAGCGAAGCTAATTTAACCCTTCGAGGTTACTAGCATAAGTAGCAAAAAAGAGAAACAGCTTTATTCAAAGCAAAAAAATACATTGTAACACGCACGAAGTAAAAACAGCCTTTGAAATGGTTCAGTACCACTACAGAAAGTGAATACGGGAACATTATGAAAGGAATTTTTTTATTTTTTATTATGCTTGAGAGCAAAACATCCTTGTAGACTTTTTAGAGTAGTCCCTTGACGAATGACTGACGACTGTAATATTTAAATGAGAGTTGAAGTTTCCTGAATGTCAAATTGAAATAACCTAACTTTATCACGATACAAAGTTAAAAGGATGTTTATAGAGTATATTAAGATTTTATTCTTTTTACTCAACTGACTTAATAAAAATAATACTTAATAGAGCAAAAAAATATTAATCAAATTATGTTTATAATTTAATAAAAATTTTGAAAACGTTTTTGCTCAAAGGTTAGGTCACCTGCACTAATTTAACATACCACTCATTCGAAATATTTGCATAAAAAAGTATTAATAATTGAAAAAATGAATAAAGACTACGAAAATAAAGTAGTCGTTCTAAAGAGTAAGATAAAAAGCTTTCCCGATTTTCCAAAAAAGGGAATCTTATTCTGGTAAGTGAACTCCTCGAAGTGTTAAACAATTTTGATGTTTCCTGCTTTTTTTTTTTTTTGAAGCAGCAAAGCTAAGGTCTTGCACTGACTGTCCGAATGTTATTGTACGAAACTTGTTTAAATGAAAGCTTATTTTGAAAGTATCGTGAGCGAGATTTAGACACCTGTCAAATATTTTTGTACTAAGATACCCGCTACATTTTAAGAATACCCGTATCAGAAACTTCTCTGTCTCATTGTCTCAGAGTAGTAACTGACATGACCGATGGGTGGGTGGTGGCTTCGCTTTGGAATATCTACAGGCTCTCAAAACCACATAACACTAGGTACTACCTATCTACTGGTTGTGAGGACATTCGCTTATCGAAACCAACAAAAAAATCCATTATGTTGACTAGCAACACAGGACGACTCATTTAAAAAAAGTACTTGCAAACAAATGCAGTGAAATATTTTAAATTATAAAAACTTTTTATGTCATGTCTTTCGCTGCTTGTTTATGTTGCACCACCCTGTTCACCATGATTACCTTCTGAATCTGAATTAATATCGACGCTTGAAAGGCAAATGTGACCAAGCGACAATAACTGCTTTGTACATAAATGATAGGCAATAACCATATTCGATGCGCAAAAAAATATATTTGTAGGTCTATAAAAATCATTTCAATTCTACAGCTAGATTCATTAAAATATAATTTTTTTCAGGTATTTCAATTTTAAATTAGTCTACTGTAAAGTTCATGCATTGTCGCTTAGTCACGTTTGCCTTTCAAGCATCGATACAATATTTGTAATACAAATATAAAAACGTAGAAGGAACTCTATAGAATAACGTTAGTAATCAATATTATTATTATGATTCCAGGGATATATTTTCGGCAATATCAGATGGCAACATATGCAAACTATTGCAATCACTATTAGTTGATTGTATACGTACGAAATTCCCTGACGTAGAAGCTGTAGTTGGACTAGAATCTCGAGGATTCCTGTTCTCTTTCTCGCTTGCTTCAGAATTAGGAATCAGCTGTCTTTCAGTCAGGAAGAAGGGAAAGCTGCCAGGAGATGTTATATCTTATGAATATGACTTAGAATACGGTTCGGTAAGTAACACCGGATTAAATTTCTTGGACCGTGAACTCAGTGTAAAGAAATAAAAAGAAGTATTGTCTCTGTTGTTTATTTTTAATAGTTTAAAAGCTATGATTTATGTTGAAAGTTGGTTGTCATACATATTGCTCAAGATACTACTATAGTTTCTAAGCTATGTATCCTCAAATGTTTAATATTGTAATTACTATCATTAGCATGCTGCAGACGAAAGAAAACATTTTTATTTGCTTTTAAATAAGTGTCCTAGGATACACATCAAAGCATATAGTATATAAAATTTACAATAAATTATATCAATCGTAACAATGTCTAAAGTATTATAGAAATGTCTAAAGCATTTAAAAAAAATCTTTACAGGACACATTGGAAATCCAAAAAGATAAAATACGGCCAGGTTTAAAATGTCTGCTAGTTGATGATTTAATAGCAACTGGCGGTTCCATAACGGCCGCGACAAAATTACTGCAAACATGCGGTGCCAAAGTTCTTGGCTGTCTGGTCATCATTGAACTTAAAAGTTTGAAAGGAAGAGAGAACATTCCTGAAGGTATACCAGTGCATTCCTTGATTCAATATGAATAGGAGTTGAAGTATGATATTTCATATGATATTTCACACTACAGTTAAGAAAATTTGTGAGTCAAATCTAGATCTAGTAGAGATCTAGACGTTTTTTGGTATATAATGATAATGACATTTTTGTGACAATTTAATTGTTATTCAATATTAATTTAAGTTTCTGTAGTTCAAAATTTCCTTTTTTTGCGATGTATATACATATCTGTTATTGCTTTCCTTTTTTTTTGTAATATTATTATATTATTATGGGGTAGTTTATGTGCATACTTAATGTAGAGTATGGAAAAGTTAATTTAATTAAAGACCGTTACTAATGAAGCAATGTCAGCATTCTCAAATTTCTTTAAAATGATGTGAGCAATCAAGCTCATGGTATGGTTTGATACAGTTTTCAGGTACATTGGGTAACAACCACGTACCTGTTTACTTATACTGCATAGCTTTTATGCAATTCATTAGAGGATAAAAAACACTGTTTGTATAATTGTAAGTTCAACTTAGCTTCCTACAGTTGACTGCAGTTTTCGCATTGTAATGTCTACATATAATAAAAACTGGAAGGCATAATAAGTATAGACAAAATACTTAAGTACCATTGTCTCGTTTTTTTTTTTTTTGTTTAATTTTTTATTTATTTATGATCATCGGTTACAGGGCTTAGCATAAATATAATTTCTACATACCGAGCATGCAAAAGCTTACAATATTCTGTAATATGAAAAATTTTCTGACGCAAAATGAAGTGAAGTTGATAGATAAATATCTACAACTTAAAGGTCGCCACACAAATTAGACATGAGTTCTAAGGCCTCAGTTTTTACAGTACAACGGCCGCCCGCCATTTAAACCGAAGCGCATTACTGCTTCACGGCAGAAATAAGCAGGGCGGTGGTACATACCAGTGCGGGCTCACAAGACGCCCTACCACCAGTAATTACGCAAATTAGAATTCTTGCAGGTTTGATTTATATTACACGTTGTTATTCCTTTACTGTGGAAGTCAATCCTGAACATTTGTTAAGTACGTATTTATATTAAGGACGGTAACCAACCCATAGTGTACAATAATAACGACCCTCAGTTAATTAAAATCCAGGGTAAAGTTAACTACCTTATATGGGATTTTTTGTTTTTATTTTTTTATTGCTTTGATGGGTGGACGAGCTCACAGCCCACCTGGTGTTAAGTAGTTACTGGAACCCATAGACATCTACAACGTAAATGCGCCACCCACCTCGAGATATAAGTTCTAAGGTCTCAGTATAGTTACAACGGCTACCCCACCCTTCGAACCGAAACGCATTACTGCTTCACGGCGGAAATAGGCGGGGTGGTGGTACCTACCCGTGCGGACTCCCAAGAGGTCCTACCACCAGTGATCGTGCTCAAATAAAAAAATATAGTTTGGAAGATTATTGATATTATCGATGTGTAAAATGTGAAATGTTAAATCAAATTTAATTTTCAATAAATACATCGTACGAATAGCGTAATTTCTAAATAAAATATTACAATAAATATATTATAGGGATTTATTGTAATTAATTCATATTTGACATTTTTTTATGAAATTGAGTGTTCTAATAAGTGACTTGATTGTTGCCATCTTGAAATTTTGACCACTAATATGGCGCGAATTATTTGTGAAAACATCTTACATGTACCGTAAAATGGGGCGATTAGGGACAAATTCCAACTTTATGAGCAATTTTAAGGTAGTTGTTGATGTATATAATGCTATATCAGGATCAAAATGATTGAGTCTTGGGGGCATCTTTGTTGTCTAATTTAAAATGATGCAACTAGCATTCCAGTTTAAGCAAAAAATGCAAAAATAGGTGTGATCCCTATTTACCCGAAAATTGCGGTTAATTGGGACGAAATGAGAAATTTGCTAGGGTTGGCACTACTTTTATTTTTATATATAGTTTTAATTTATTTATTTATTTAGTTGCACCAACAAAGTGATCAGCAATAAAAAAAATTGAAAAACTGACAAAAGTACATGGCAGACATCACCTCAATTATAGGTGCAATCGACAGTGCTGATATTTCTATCTGGGTTAAGAGATTAGGTGTGCCGGTTATTTCATGGATTAATCAGATGAATACCCCCACTCTGAACAAATATTAAATATTTTATTATGTATTACTTAGACATTTTTGTCCACCTTGAGATTTCATTGATCTTGTTACATGTTTCTGCAAAATCGACTTACTTATATTAAATTGCTTATCTATTTCAACTAAAGACTTATTCCCAATTTCGCTTCGAATAAACCAGATTTTTACCAACAAATTTAAAAAATATTGTTATAACTACATAGACAACCCTACAAACCTGTACCTATTTATACTTAGGTCGTTTCCATTTCACGTATTCTCATCCCAATTGACCCCTTTTTCGTTGTTATTTGTACCTAAGACGTCCCCAATATCCCCAAAAACAACAGATTTTTACATGTATTTTTATTTAATCAAATACATTAAAACCAATAACAACTCAGACTTACCTTTAATATATATGCTGGTTCAAACACTAAATAACGTTTATAAATCATAGTCGTCTTCTATTATTATCAAATAAATAAAAGAGAGCAAAGTTTCTAGCACTAAAATAATTACCACCACAAGAAGTTAATTTGTAACGCGATTTTTTATAAGTTAGCAGCTATTATCATGCATATTCAGAGTTGTTTTGTGAGCTTTCAACATTCTACAATTACACTACAAAAAGTGGAAGATTTTGCAACGAACATAAAACTTATATTGAGCGCCGAAAGATTTTCCCGGTTTTTTCCCGATTCGCCTCTCAATCCCTAATCGCCCCATTTTACCGGTACTACTTAATTGAAATGCGATTAAAACACTATTAAATTTTTTTTTTTTTTAATTTCATAAACTGAAAATAAAAAAGAAAAACAATCAAAGTATACACGTTCATGCGATTTTAAGATATTATTATTTAATATTCATTAACATTCCCAGTGCAGAAAAGACTTGATCCGTTGTTATGTGAGATAACCTCACTTTTAAATTTGTTTGTATGTCTACCATTTTTGGCCTTAGTTTGTTAAATTGTTGACCAAAATGGAAGAGAAAAAAATTCGTTTTTTAATATTATCTTCTATCCAAGTGACCTCGTTAACTCACCGACACGCTGGTAAGTGCAAATAAAGGCTCAATAGATTCCAAGGATTCGCCATCTGTGCATATATCTAGAGTTAGGTATGTAATTGTATCTACATCATCGAGCAAAGTGATTTTGCGCATATTCAAGTTCAAAGAACAAAATTGGGCGCATCATTTTTATTATACATAGCAATGACACCCGCTCGGTAAAAGATCATCCCTGTGTTTTAGTTTCTGTTAAACTAAAAAAAGTTTTTTACTTTAAACTTCGGACAATAGTGGTAGTTTTCCAATTACAGCACAAGAGCGCATTATGCGGCATAATGCTCAACTACCTGTATTAGTTTTCCAATTACAGAACATAATGCGACTCGGTGACGCACAATGCCGAATTATGCTGAAGCTTAGTTGAGCATTATGCCGCATAATGCGCTCTTGTGCTGTAATGGGAAAACTACCTACCATTACTACCTACTTATTTTATTAAATATTTTTCGTGTTTTTTTTTAAATATTAAATGTTGTAATTTCACAATAGTTCAATATGAAAAAAGACAATTTATTGACAATATGACAGTAAAATGTCATTTTTTTATCAAACTATTTCATATTAATTGTAGACGTAACGGAGTGTGCATAATGAACTTCTGATTGATTATTGAATTCATTTATGGATTTATTTTAATAATTTTCATACATTAAAATGTATCGCCAATATTGTTAAACATTATTAAAAAAAATATTGTTATTATAATAAACTCTTCATTCCAATTATTAAGTTTTAATAAATTTGTTTTTAGAAAATTTATTGTTTGATTCATACCAATCAAGATTAGTCTGCATATTTAAATATTTTCTTAGTGTCAAACCTTAGAATGCGTCTTGTACTGGTAACATTTCAAGTGGAAATGTGGAAATTAATAAATCTAGTTACTGGCTAATTGCGGGGCTTATTCCCACTAAAACTCAGTATCTCCATTAAATCAGGTCAATATTTCAATAAAACTATCAAATATCCTTCAGAGTTTTTATTTTAGCACATTAGCTTCGAATTTAAATTAGTACAATGCTATATCAATGCTGGCTATTTTCTTCAATATCTGAACTTTATAAATAGGCAATAGAACTTTATAAATAAACAATATACAGGTAACCCTCCTACGAATATTACACGGTTCTACAAAGCCCCGTGTTGTGCGAAATTGTTTTAATGAGACTAGAAGCCATTACAAAAAAGAGAGTAATTTCTGAACGAAATATCTCAACTATGCCTGTATGTATTTTTTAAACTATTAGACAAAAAAAAAATGCAATACAATTTCGGTTACATATTCTTTCTAAATAAACAAAAATATCTTTAACGTGTCATCGAAATAGGGGTTTTAGGGAATTTTTAGAACCGTTTTATAGGAGGGTCACGTGTATTACACAAATATGACCATTTGCTAAACAAAATAGCGATGGTCAATCTAACCTAGAAAGTTAAATTGACTTTAATCAATTCGCGTGTACTTATTTTTGTATACGTGCGTGCTGTAACCCACTGGTGGAATCGTCGAAGCGTGCTGCGAAGTCGAAGGAGCATAATTGTCCTTTAACAGCGCGAATTGAGAGACATCGTTATCGGTAGGAAGCTCTTCTTCGCGGCCTACCATCGTGGTGCGATCAGCAGTAGTGCTACCTTCAACATTAACCTCGGTTGTGCTTTGTACGTCCACGTTCGATGTCGTCGGAATGCCGTTAATATTAATGTCTTTGCTCATGGCAATAGGATTGAAGAACTCCTCAGGTTTCTGGGTCGTAATCAAAGTTTGGCCTTGTTCAGTTGTCGCTGTGAAGGTCGTTTTCTCGTCTGAAGCTTCAGACGTAGCTGTCGCAGCCGTTTCGGTTTTTCGCGTTTCTCTTAAATTCTTCTCCGGGTTATGCGTTTCTCCAGCGACGGATGCTGGCACTTTCGCGCCCTGTAGCTCGGTGGAGGTATTTACTTCTGCTTGTATTTCATCTTCGGGCACAGAGTAAACTTCAACGTGGAATTCGTAGCCTCTGAACACAGCCGGGCTCTTCAACTCGAAGGTAACGTTTTTCTGTCCTTGTCCCCCTTCGACGATTTGCACCTCTCCGTCCTTCTCCGCCCTCAAATCTGTGATGATCACGCCGCTGATGACTTCGTTGTCTGTAGCGTTGACGGTTATCTTGTCAGCTCGTCTCCATATCGCCGGACTGGCGGTTCTGTTGCTATCGTATATTTTCTTGCCATTTTCGTGGCCGATAACAATGTCGTTAGCCGCGACTGCGCCCATAAAAACAAGGAAGCACACTAGTCTGTACATCGTGTCCACCGTTTTTCAACTGTTCGGTGGCAAATGAATCCATCGCTTATATAGAGTATTCGTTTAAGGAAAATACAATGAGCAGACCACAAAATAAATCAAACATACGCTGTTTTATTAATGTAAATGAGTATCTTCCTGCAGGAAAATTGTGTGTACAGTCATTCACGAATTCTATGATTTGTTATTGTTGTGATCTCATTTATTGCGGTGTCTGAAGTTTCCCCTAGGTATTTTACTTAGAAATTAACGTGCAGGATTAGTCCAGTTCAATGTGGTGATGATTTTTTTTTTAAATATGCTTTTACGTTTGTGCGCTAGTGTTTTTTTTTATTTATTTTTTATTGCTTAGACCTGTGGACGAGCTCACAGCCCACCTGATGTTAAGTGGTTACTGGAGCCCATAGACATCTACTACGTAAATGCGCCACACACATTGAGATATAAGTTCTAAGGTCTCAGTATAGTCACAACGGCTGCCCCACCCTTCAAAACGAAACGCATTACTGCTTCACGGCAGAAATAAGCGGGGCGGTGGTACCTACCCGTGCGGACTCACAAGAGGTCCTACCACCAGTAATTACGCAATTTATAATTTTGCGGGTTTGAATTTTATTACACGATGTTATTCCTTCACCGTGGAAGTCAATCGTGAACATTTGTTTAGTACGTATTTCATTAGAAAAATTGGTACCCGCCTGCGGGATTCGAACACAGGTGCATCGCTATATACGAATGCAAAATGAATGTGTACTTTTGCGTTTGCATTTTCATAATTTTTATAACGTGGGTCATTGACTTAAACTAGGCTTGGAAAACACACCCTTCTTGTCTTTTTGTAACGTTCAAAACGCTTGAAGTGGAATCGTTTTTACAACGAGCATGCGTATTAATAAAAAACACGAGTTGTTTACGAAATTACAACATTATTTTCCTCCAAAACATAGCTTCCTCAGATTTAACTGCCTGCGTGTACTACCTACGTGACAAACGTGACGTTAATGTATGATAATATCATACGTGAACTGAATTAAGATCTAACCTCTACGTGTCTAGAGCTTCCGAGATGCCTCATCGATCTGGTTTGATAACAATATTCGGCAATGCCAAAGCTATATAAGTTGCTTGAATTTAGATAGGAATTGTAGATACATTTTTCATACGTTTATAACTCATTTTTATATTGTACTAGTTGTACCTGTCCGCTTCGCTGGGCATTTAAAATTAACATTATTATTTCTCACCCCCACAAAGATTCTCATCATTAACGCCCCGCAGCTGGTGTAGGGAGTCCAATATCCATACAAATTTTAGCCTATCCATTGAGTACACGTATTTTCTACACGGATACCAAGTTTCAAGTCAATAGGATGCATGGTTCAGTAGTTAGGTATAACGGAACATCCGTAAAAACCACTGTAGATTTAGGTATATATTTTAGTATAGATATCTTTAGATTATAATCCGTGAATAGCTGGAATAGCCCTTAAGGCTACCAGCGGTTGAGTAGAGAATAAGAAAATTTAGATTATAGCGTCAATTGTTGGCCTTTTATCCGACTCGTGATCCAGAGGGTGAAGGTTTAAAGAGTGGGGCAGCCATTCTAACTATACTGAGGCCATAGAACTCATATCTCAAGGTGGGTGGCCGCATTTACGTTGTAGATGTCTATGGTCTCCGGTAACCACTAAATAACAATAATAAAAAGGTATCAATACCGCTGCAGAGGACTGTATCCGTATTCTAAGTACAGAATTGCTAAATTTTTAATCAAATCAATCAATCAATGAGTCCTTTGTCCTTTATTAAAAAGACTGTTGATTTAATTTTTGTATATTTTACAGAATGTCTCTCAGTTCCTTAGTTCAGTGTAGCCTATTTGTATAGGCATCTTCCATTGTTGTCTATCTTTAGACTGTTAGATTTAGGTCGGATCTATGTACAGAAGACAGCGTCGCAGAGAAGCCAGATGTGTGGTTGCATTCTGTGGCTGTACATAAGTGACCTGGATCACTATATAATTGCAGAGGGTTGTATCTATTGCAGTCTAGTATTCGGCTTATGTAAAGCGGTAAGGCCCTAAAATTCCTTGGGCCCGCGGTCTGCTCCGAACACCTTGCAGATCGTCAAGTCCCACGTACCCCGCGCGCCCCCTAGACACGGGGACATTGCAGGAGATTCGGGCACCGGCCCAAAAAAAAAAGAAGGTAGTATGTTAAAGAGAGCTTATCTTAATAATGTAATGAGGAAACAGTCACAAACACAGGCAATGTAAGGCCATCATAGAGTACCTACGTTTCAAAAAATAAAAAAAAAACATGTTTTCGTTTAGAAACTGATTCAAACGTATTTTTCCTTGATTCATCAGAAAAATGAGGTCACGGATGGAACAACACGACAATAAGTAAAATACATTTCACAATTAGCTTTGTAACATTACGCTTATGTCTGTAATCCCGGGATTTATTATTATTGACTAGCGACCCGCCCTCGCTTCGCTTCGGAAACATTAAATTTTATTATTGATAGCTGTGCCACGTGATGTTACCCGCGGTTATTTTCGTACCGTGTGTGACGCCGTGGGGCTAAGCTAGTCTAAAAAAGTACCATAGGTTACTTCTTATATCATCAGCTACCTATCAGTGAAAGTGTCGTCAAAATCGGTCCAGCCATTCCAGAGATTCGCCGGAACAAACAGACAGACAAACAGACAGACATTGTAAAAAATGATATTTTGGTGTATGTACCGTATATATATTTATATGTACTAGAGGTCCCGTAGTAGTCGAAATTCGACTATAATTAATTGGAATTGCAAGTTTGTACTCTATTATGATTGTATTTTATACTTCTATAATCACAAATTTCGCCAAGACTACAGTATAAAAAATATTAACAAAGACAAACAATATTTAATCTATTCTCAATTTGACAACAGACGTCAAGAACAAAAGTTTGACAATAAATAGTATGCATGCGTGTGTGCGTCAAATACATGGTATGTAGTGTGTGTAATGTTTTCTTTATTGATTNTAATCACAAATTTCGCCAAGACTACAGTATAAAAAATATTAACAAAGACAAACAATATTTAATCTATTCTCAATTTGACAACAGACGTCAAGAACAAAAGTTTGACAATAAATAGTATGCATGCGTGTGTGCGTCAAATACATGGTATGTAGTGTGTGTAATGTTTTCTTTATTGATTTAATGTATCTTTTATGCATTATTTAAAAAAATATTAGCATTGTGCACTTCTTCTCTATATTCTCTATAAATGTGGAAAATTTCATACTCCTCCGTCCGCGCAATTTTCGTAAAAAGGGATACAAAGTTTTTGCTTCACGTATTAATATATAGATGTAGTAAAAAGCGGTCATTTCAACATCACAAACAGACACTCCAATTTTATTTATTCGTATAGATTTCGGGAGTCCCGAAACGTCCCCAGGGAACGTCTGAATTAATATTATGCCAATGCGAAATTAAATCGCAAAAGTAGTTCTTATTACTTTAATATATTTTAGAATTGTAGGTATAATCCTTCGAATGTGAGACTTCTCGAATGAGAATTGTAAATACCGCAGAGTGGGACAGCGAGTACGATAAGATTAAACCAGCCCAGACAGACTAGACGGAGCCTTGTAAATTTTATTAAAGACATGCTCGGATGCGTCAGCAAAGGTTTCGGTAGGTACTTCCTATTCCTGACGCGGAATCCTTGCGTGCGTGACGCATACGTGGTAAACAAATACATTTAAATGTTAGACTTAATGCTTCAGGGTTACGGGGACATTCACATATCCATTCTCCATGAGTTTTTTAAAAAGTCGTCGTGGCCTAAATGATAAGGACGTCCGGTGCATTCGTGTTGAGCGATGCACCAGTGTTCGAATCTCAGGCGGGTACTAATTTTTCTAATGAAATACGTATTCAACAAATGTTCACGATTGACTTCCACGGTGAAGGAATAACATCGTGTAATAAAAATCAAACCCGCAAAATTATAATTTGCGTAATTACTGGTGGTAGGACCTCTTGTGAGTCCGCGTGGGTAGGTAGCACCATCCTACCTATTTCTGCCGTGAACCAGTAATGCGTTTCGGTTTGAAGAGTGGGGCAGCCGTTATAACTATACTTGAGAAATAAGAATTTATATCTCAAGGCGGGTGGCGCATTTACGTCGTAGATGTCTATGGGCTCCAGTAACCACTTAACACCAGGTGGGCTGTGAGCTCGTCCACTCACCTAAGCAATAAAAAATATAAAAAGTTTCTGTAAAAATGTTAAATAGGTCTATGGTATAGGAGCTGAATTGTCAATGGGACGCAAGCTATGGTGACGTCATCAGTTGGACTAATATTCGTGCAAGCCCAGTTTATGAAGCTCTCCATTCGACCGGCTGTAATCTTAAATATTAAGTGTATCCGCTACCAGCTGAGTTACTCGCCGGATCTTCTCAGGAGGTCGTGTTTTCGATCAGGTGATACCATGTAGTACAAAAAAAAACTGAATTTAATTTATTCATTATTGCGGGCCATTGTCATTTCGTAGTATTATAATACCAAATTACTTTTAAAAAAAAAACGAAACACATATTTTATGTACCAATAGGACATCTGAATATGTTAAGTAAAAATCGCTGTGAGAATTCCGTTACGTAATTACCAAAGTAAGAAAAATAATATTTGATAGATTCAAAATATTTTATTCAATGAATTTCCATTAAAATTCAACCCAGAAAACACCCTCCAAAAATATTATAAATTCTAAGAACAATAGTCCGACTTAGAGCAGGGACATTTCTCAGACATCTTCAAACCTTTCACCATTTGTTTCATGAATGGATGAACCTCGTCACTGAAATGCGGTCTGAAATACAATACAACATAATATAGATTATACACTTAATATTTGAGCAACACAATGTTGATGTTCCATTTTCGCGGTAAATTTTAAATGTGACATTTGACACGACCAACTGTCATTCTAGATAAAGACAACGGTTCACGCGTCCAAGATTGGAGCAACTTTGAAGAAGATTTCTTTTTTTTGTATAGGTTAGAAGGTCTCAGTATAGTTACAACGGATGCCCCACCCTTCAAGCCGAAACGCATTACTGCTTCACGGCAGAAATAGGCGGGGCGGTGGTACCTACTGGTGCGGACTCAAAAAATTAGCAATTAACTATTATTGTAATTTCAAAACAAACTGACTAGAAGAGGTAAATCAATTAAACTTAACAATAAAATTACCTCCCAAGTACATACAAACAAGGAGTCAATTGACCAAATTGGTTCACGACAACGGAGAAATTGGTGAATGTACAAAAAAAAAGTCAACTAAAACCTCTTTCTTTTTTTGAAGTCGATTCGAGCCAAGTTTTCTTAATTTTTTATTATTATTTCTTATAGCTTAGATGGGTGGACGAGCCCATAGCTCACCTGGTGTTAAGTGGTTACTGGAGCCCATAGACATCTACAACGTTAATGCGCCATCCACCTTGAGATATAAGTTCTAAGGTTTCAGTATAGTTACAACGGCTGCCCCACCCTTCAAACCGAAACGCATTACTGCTTCACGGCGGAAATAGGCGGGGCGGTGGTACCTACTGGTGCGGACTCAAAAAATTAGCAATTAACTATTATTGTAATTTCAAAACAAACCGACTAGAAGAGGTAAATCAATTAAATTTAACAGTGAAATTAGCTTCCACAAACAAAGAATTAATTGGCTAAATTGGTCAAATGTATAAAAAAAAATCAACTAAAACCCCTTCCTTTTTTTGAAATCGATTCGAATCGAGTTTTTTTTAGTTTACGGTATTTATCAACAACAACACTAGTTACCGGCACAACATCTTGCTGATCTCCCGTTCGTATTCTTCTTTTGCGATCTGACATTTCTTGATCTCATCCAATTCGGCTTGTCGCGCACGCTCCTTTTGCCAATAAGCGATTAAATAATTATAAATTTGTTTCAAATTCGTAACGTGACTAAATGTAGAAGTTTGTTTTTTTAATTTTTGTTTTTGGCTAATGGTTAACCTTTGATCTCATAATAAAATAATGAATGTATCTTTATTTATACTAAAAATAAATTAGTACTGAGGCGTATGTATAACTAAAATTTACAGATATTTTTAGTTGGAACAGCGCCCCTAGCGGCAAACGTAGGCAAACGTTCCAACTCCATACAAATTTGAGTTCACTCTTACGCTATCGAGAACAGTGGTGTATTTACACTAGGGGCAGTCGGGGCAAGTGCCCAGGGCGGCAAAATTTCGAAAGTAAACATTTTTTTAGTCTTATCAAGATTGCTCAATATAATTAATTAATTCTATTAATTAATAATTTTCTTTTTAATTGATAATTTATGAAATTAAATTCACCCATTATATGTGAATTATAACTGTGGCACTTTTGGTAAAAATTAATAATCAAAATGATTTAATTAATTTATTTCCTAGAGATTAAAATATTAATCGATTTTTCTATTTTCTGTAATTAAAGGAATTTTATTAGTTTATTTTTTTATGTATTAAAATTATGAGTCACCCTTAGTGCAAATTTTATAATTGTTAGAAAAAAAAACAAATATTTATTTATGTTTTTGGGAATATATCACATATGATAAAGTTTCCGCAATAAATTAGTTATTGTAATTTTGAAAGATAAAATATAATATAAACTATAAGTTTAGGTAAAATTCTAGTATTGGGGCGGATTTTTTTCCGATGCCCAGGAGCGGAATTAAGTTTAAATCAGGCCCTGATCGAGAACGTTAAAAAACTCGCACTACTAAGCACACCTGAGACCTAAAAACCCAACAGACCTTCAGCATCTGGTTGTACTTGATCTGGTCGAGCAGGTCGCGTTGGTGATGCCTCCTCGCCTCGGCGTCCGTCTTCTCTTTGTGAGCCGCGAGCCCCTCCAGCTGACTGAACAATTGCCGGTAGTACTCGTCCTGCTCAGCCAGTTTCTCTTTCAGGACATTACGTGCCGATTCACGTTCCTTTATCTGGTCGATCATCGCTTGCCGTACTTCCTGGGGACATAAACGAATTTTGTTATAAGTGTTTTGAATTTAGATATGTTTGGGACTGGAAAGAGGATAAGTTTTAGGACTCACTCGGTAGCTCGTTGATGCACTATTCAATTTTCTCACTGGTGAGAGTTATATGTGCTGATTGATCAACAAATCACAATTTTATTGTTTTTGCACCGGCATGGGCACCATGTTTTAGTTTTTTTACACACTTCTTCGCGCCATTTTCATACTCGCGTAGTTTTTCTTGTAGTTTCAACAGATGGCGTGGATAGGGGATTGAGGAAGGAATAAGGAAAAGTCCCAACAATAAGAAGGCTTGATTATGTTTTTTTTTAACTATCTATTGCTGGTAACTACGAGAAGTTATGTTAGCTTCACCGTGTAGGTGAGCTCTTGAGGCTCAGCCTGGAGACGTAGCTACCACTGGCCCTAGCAAGAGCCGTGCTTCGCTGAATCTACTACCGGATCGGAATCGCGACCTACTGAAAAGATCAGTGGACTGCTTCTATGGGGTTTTTTTTATTGCTTAGATGGGTGGACGAGCTCACAGCCCACCTGGTATTTACTGGAGCCCATAGACATCTACAACGTAGACGCGCCACCCACCTTGAGATACAAGTTCTAAAGTCTCAGTATAGTTACAACGGCTGCCCCACCCTTCAAACCGAAACGCCTTACTGCTTCATGACAGAAATAGGCGGGGTGGTAGTACCCACCCGCGCGGACTCACAAGAGGTCCCACCACCAGTAATTACGCAAATTATAATTTTGCAGGTTTGATTTTTATTACACGATGTTATTCCTTCACCGTGGAAGTCAATCGCCAACATTTATTGAGTGCGTATTTCATTAGAAAAATTGGCACCCGGCTGCGGGATTCGAACGCCGTTGCATCGCTTCAACACGAATGCACCGGACGTCTTATCTTTTAGGCCATGACGACTTCCAAAGTTAGTTCGCTCGTCGAACTCGTCGTCGTAATTAACTAGCTCGACGAGAACGTTGAACGGGATTCAAATGTTGACAAATAATATAATAAGAAACTACACAAACTTTGTTAGTCTTCTGTGACCAGGTTAAATATTCGCAGCGCTTTTTGTCGACCAACTCCTGTCTCCTCGCTGCCTCCAGCTGGAAGTCTCCGTCGCTCGCGCGTTCCAATTTCTCCAGCTCTTTTTTCATTTCAATCATTTTTTTATTGCATTCGTTTAGTTCGCGCTGAAAATTTCAATATTTTGAATGCCAGTTGTTTTTATATAAATAAAAAAAGGCAATGTAAAAGTGACGAACGATTAAATAAACTGGTCTTGTGAGTCTCCGCCCTGCCTATTTCTGCCGTGAAGCAGTAATGCGTTTCGGTTTGAAGGGTGGGGCAGCCGTTGAACTGTAGAAAACTTAGTAGAAACCAAACCTAAGAACTCGTGTGTCAAGGTGAGTATTTACGTTGTAGACGTCTATGAGCTCCGGTAACCACTAGTCAACTCATCCAAGCAATAAAAAAGATTGCCATCCGTTTAGTGACAGATGTTGACGCTCATAACCTCCATACAAGCTTCATCGCAAAAAGCCACGGACTCATTTACCTCTTTCCGTCTCCTCAACTCGATAGCCGCTTTCTCATCGGCTATACCTTGGCCCGTTAGAGAATCCCACGTGTCAGCAATGAGCTTAGCCTCGGCTTGCTGTTTCCTAACAGTCTCCTGTCTTTCCAGAATCATCTCCATACGTTCGCGGGCTGTTTCTTTACGCTTCTCTGCTCTCTGATGTTCAGCTGATAATTAAGAGAGTATTTAAATTTTTTAATCTATACTAATATATAAATCTACAGTGGTTTTTACGGATGTTCCGTTATAACTACTGAACCGTGCATCCGATTGACTTGAAACTTGGTATCCATGTAGAAAATACATGTACTTAATGGATAGGCTAATATTTGTGTTAGTGTTGGACTCCCAACACCAGTTGCGGGAACGTTCATGATGAGAATGTTTGTGGGGATGAGAATAATGGTAATTTTAAATGCCCAGCGAAGCGGACGGGTACAGCTAGTTTATTATAAGAATGAACCAATGTGGATGTCGCCACTAAGAGATGCCCACGCCTGAAACCAGAACTCCAAGTGTAAATTATACCGTACTCCAAGGCGGAATTTATATCGTACCACAAGTGTGCTTAGTGTGAGTTTTTAAACGTTCTCGATAGCGTAAAAGTTAACTAAAATTTGTAGGCAGTTGAAACAGCGTCCCTAGCGACAAGCGTAGGCAAACGTTCCAACGTCATACAAATTCGAATTAACTTTGACGCGATCGAGAACGTTAAAATTCCCACTAAGCACGCAGCTTATAGTCCCTTAAGCTCACCTACTCGTTCGATGAATCTAGTGTGACCCCTCGAGATCACTAGAATAGGTAGCAGGAAAAAATATAGCTACCACGCGATAGGAATATAGGGATCGATTGCCACTTATCGATCGGAGTTCATACTACACTTGACCATAAACAAAAATCTATTTACCTTCAAGACTATTGCTCTTATTGCTATTGTTATTGATACAGAGATATTGGACTTTTTAGCGAATTCATCAACTTACATGTAACACCGATTTATGTATTTTATGTTTTTTATTCGAATTATATTAAAATATTTCAGTAGTATAGAAGTATATAGTAGTTACTTGAAGCATTCGTGATCTAAAGGAAGATGCTTACTTTGAAGGACTAAATTATACTTAAAAGATTAACAATGTTGAAATATTACAATTGGACGTAAAATCTAAATTTTTATCACAAATGCATAGATATATTTTTTGTTAAAATTACTTTATTATTCATGTGTTATATATGGTTGGCGCGGGAAGGAACGGTTAAATTGTTTGAATATTAAGTTAATGCTTACACTGCTAGACAATGATTTATTGAATGTAACTGATCGTAAAACTCGAGCAAACTACCCACAAGCAACTTTTAGTGACCTTTCAAAACATAACATTTTTTTTTAAGAGATTTTATGACCTGGTAACTGAAACCTTTAAGTCATGTCTTATTTTAATGTATATTCTTAATTTTATGAAAAATGATATTATGGAGTGAAATGAAATGAAAATGATTAATTTGAGACATTAATCAACTGGGATGAAATTAAATGAGATGATATGAGATGAAATCTAATCTGAGTAAAATGGTGGTCATTTACTAAGATTTTTTCAGTGGACTTTTTGGAGGATCCCGAGAAGTTACGTCCAGCGGATTTGTTTCATTTTCCCACATTTGTGCACTTTCACAGATATTAAACGGTTAATAAACCACCATTATTACACATTTAAACCCGAAGAAACACTAAATAGACAAAATAAAACAAATCACACAACTTCACTCCTCGCGTTCCCGCCAAAAAGTCCAAAACATAACAGGTGCGGGTCTTAGCATAGATTATACACTTAATATATTTGGTATTAGTTTTAGTGTAGTTATAGCGATCAGACGGCGGATAACACGGTTTTCTTAAAAATAATCAGAGCATCGGTCCTTCCTTTTTTCCCCCCCTACATATGCTCATAGCCTTGAGAGGCTATATCAGTGTTACCCTAACGTGTAGATGAGTTCTCGGGGCTCAAACCGGAGGTGTTGCTAAACCTGGCCCTAGCGAGAGCAGTGCTTCGCAGAATCTACCACCAGATCGGAAACGCGACCCACTGAGAAGATCCTACCAGAAACTCAGTGGGCTGTATCTGTGGGTGGTCCTTCCTCATATATGTACTATAATAACTGCATATCGCTATCTAGTTATTTTTTTGCGAATACCTTACAATACCGTCACTGTCATGTTTAAGCGAATATAGACCGTAAGATGTCCATGAACTTATGCAGCCGCCTGTATATTCATAATAACTTTTTAGTCGACAAATAAAACAAAACACCTTCTTGTTCCTTCCTGATGTCCTCGTCCCAAATAGCCTTAAATCTCTTCGATTCTTCTTTCAGCATCTCCCTCTCTTTTTCCCTTTGAATTCTTCTCTGTTCCAATTGCTGATCAGAGTACTGTTTACATTCCAAGTCGCGTCTTAGACGTTCTATCGCGTCCTGTTCCATTCTGGCTGCCTAAAATTGTTTCGCCTACATTACCCGCTTGTGTTTCTCATTACATCGAGGAGTAGATACGAAGCATTACATTCATTTAAGCACATTTTTGAGAGATCAAAAACATATTAGACTTTGTAAATAAATATACAAAATAATAAAAAATAATGTTAATAAAGTATAAATATTATTATTATTTATTGTTACTTGTTAGATTTAGTTTTTACTAGCTGTACCCATTCGCTTCGCTGGGCATTTAAAATTAACATTATTATTTCTCACCCCCACAAAGATTCTCATCATTAACGCCCCCTGGTGCAGGGAGTCCAACATTCATATAAATATTAGCCTATCCATTAAGTACATGTATTTTCTACACGGCTACCAAGTTTTAAGTCAATCGGATGAACGGTTCAGTAGTTATAACGGAACATCCGTAAAAACCACTGTAGATTTATATATTAGTATTATAGAAGTATAGATTATTATTTAGAAACATAAAAAAGAAACGAGACAGACAGATTCGGAGGTGGGAAGACGAGATAAAGACGGTAGCAGGAAAAGTATGGACAAGAAAACCTCTAAACCGAGTTGGGTGGAAAGAAACGGAGGAGGCCTTTGCCGAACTTGGGCTAGCAGACGAAGTTGTTGATGTCATCGACTAAGCAGATTCGTTAAGTTTATGGTTTACGATCGTTAGATAAAACTAAAACAGCTTTGAAACTACTTATAAATGGATTATATAAACTCCCGATAGCTCATGAATAACATCTATAACTCTTTTGTAACTACCCACAAGTTCCATTAACCGGCAATATAAAGCACAAGCTTGTTACAAACTGCCCGTGCTTTTTCGAAGAGTAAATTATTGTAAATACTTAATTGCTTTTTAATAATTTATCACATTAAATTGTTACGGTAAGAAAACCTAAGTAAAATAACATTTTCGTGTCCAAAGAGACTAGTGTGATTAGTGCGAGTTTCTTAACGTTCTCGATAGCGTAAAAGTTAACTCAAATTTGTATGGAGTTGGAACAGCGCCCCTAGCGGCAAACGTACGCAAACGATCCCACTCCATACAAATATGAGCTAACTTTTACGCTATCGAGAACGTTAAGAAACTCGCACTAAGCACATAGATCAGCAGTTTTTCATTTTCGGGCAGTTCAAGGCTTTCATATTCCCAAATAGCATCAGTCTTTTTAATAAAGTTATTAGTAAAGTTGAATAAGAATAATTCCCCCGAACCATTATAAATTATTAACAATTTCAGGCATACTTTTCTTACATTCGAGAGCTTTATAGAATCTATACTAATATATAAATCTATAGTGGTTTTTACGGATGTTCCGTTATAACTACTGAACCATTCATCCGATTGACTTGAAACTCGGTATCCATGTAGAAAATACATGTAGTACTTAATGGATAGGCTAATATTTATATAATAATATAAATAATAATAAATAAATATTTACTAACAATCACGCCACGTTAACTGGTCCCGTGATAAGTTCGTAAAGAACTTGTGTAACAGGTACCAGATAACGGATATAAATGTAAGATTTTTATTATACACATACATATATTTAATATACATCCATAACCCTGGAAAAGACCAGACAAAGAGATATTTATCATACAAATATCTTCCCTTGGCGGGATTCGAACCCGCGACCCCCTTGTGTAGTGACCATGTCACTTACCACTACACCAGACGGCCGTTCAAAGTGTATATGAGTGTTGGACTCCCTAATAATAATGACAATAAATAATATAGTTAATTCTAAAAGCCCAGCGCAGCGGGCGAGTACGGCTAGTCTATACTAATATTATAAAGAGGAAAGATTTGTTTGTTTTTTTGTTTCGAATAGGCTCCGAAACTACTGGACCGATTTGAAAAAATATTTTTCCATTAGAAGCCGACATTGTCCCTGATGAACATAGGCTACTTTTTTTATTTTTTTTTTTATTTTTTTTTTTTGGTTTCATGTGTGTTTTAATGTTTCCGAAGCGAAGCGAGGGCGGGTCGCTAGTAATTTATAACGTTCTAGGTGATCTGTTAATACAAAATCTAACCAACGCTTCGGATTCCTTCATCGTGACTTCGTGCCACATCTTATCAAACTCCTTCTCAGCCATTTTTCTGGCTTCTTTCTCTTTAATTTGATACAGTTGTATTTCTTCTGCCTCTTTGGCGCGCAACTTGTAGATGCAGGGCAAAACGTGGACGCATTTCGATCTTAAATGTAGGTACGTGTAAAATGATTTTGGATCAGGTTTTTTTTAAGCTTCGCGGTTATCGACATTAAAAGGACACTACTGTTTGACGGGTTATGATCACAGATACATTTATTAGAGTTGTTATGTTTATTACCCTGATTTTTACATAAAATATGTTCCCGATCATTCGGTGATGTTGCCAGCTGAATTATTATGGCGAAATATCGGGAACTTATTAAGACAAAAAATCGTGATAGGAACTCCATAAATAATAGTGTTTATAACGTAATTTAGCTATCTTATACAATAAGTATATAAGATAGGTACTAATATTTATTAGTTTGCGTGACGTTAAGTTAGCTTAAGGCGAACAACAATAAACTGAACACCGCGTACACCTTAATAACTAAAACATGGTTTTAGTCAAGGGCGGATCCAGCTTTGGCGCCAGGAGGGGGTCACATAGTCAAATTTAGATGCGTTCGTTCCCAAACGTTTGCCATTATACAAAGTTATTATATTAAATGAATTAAATATTGAAGGTATGTAGTTACATAAAATCTGTATGGTGACAAAATATATAAATAAAATCATTATATTCAATTAGTAGTCCACCTAAGTCCTGGAACCAGCTCAGGGGGTGGTCATGACCCCCATGACCCCCCCCCCCCCGGATCCGCCATTGGTTTTAGTAGCGATGGAATATTAGCTATCCTATCCTGTTTTAGAGAAGGGAATGCGTGGTTGACTTGACAACAGAAAAGACAGAGCTGTGGTCCCAAGTCGTGTGGTCTCACCACAAATCCTGTCACCAGCATGCTACTCGTGCGAACGGGATTTTAGATGAAAATACTATTACAATGGGTGTAGTATACAGTCTTGGTGGATATGATGACATTGAAGAGTTGCAAAGCTATTTATTCGGGGACTGGTTCCGGACTGTGGTCGGTGTGGATAAAATTTATCAATAAATAGATTATGATACATATAGTTATAATTATTTTTTCCTACCTATGCTGATAGCCTTGAGCGGCATTTCAGCTTCTCCTTAACGTGTGGGTGAGCTCACGGGGCTCAAACCGGGAGTATTACTAACACTGGCCCTAGCAAGAGCAGTGCTTCGCAGAATCTACCACCGGATCGGAAACGCGACCCACTGAGAAGATCCGGCGAGAAACTCAGTGGGCTGTGTCTATGGGTTAATTCGCTCGTCGAGCCCTTCGTCGCAAGCGACGGGTTCGACGAGGACGGTGACCGGTGCTTGTGGTACCTAAAAGCACTGTTAATGGATCGGGAGGATACGTAATTACGTGTTTATGGGAAGTCATACAGAGGCGTTTCTTTGTATTTGTCTTCGTGTTCTTTCTTCCTTTTCGCAAGCAAGTACTGCAAGCGGTCTTTCTTATCTTGCCATAGAGCCTCGGCGCCCGCCTGCGCTTGTTCCACGAATTTACGAATATTAGCTTCTTCTTCTTGTTGGAAGAGTTCTAGCAATCTGTCGATTTAATGTTAGAATCTAACATTGATAAATGAAGTATCTATTTGTAGAACCAAAAACAAACAACTGGAAAATGAAATAAACCAGTAAATGCTTAGATGGGTGGACGAGCTCACAGCCCACCTGGTGTTAAGTGGTTACTGGAGCCCATAGACAACTACAACGTAAATGCGCCACCCACCTTGAGATATAAGTTCTAAGGTCTCAAGTACAGTTACAACGGCTGTCCCACCCTTCAAACCGAAACGCATTATTGCTTCACGGCAGAAATAGGCCGGGCAGTGGTACCTACCCGAGCGGACTCACAAGAGATCCTACCACCAGTAATTACGCAAATTATAATTTTGCGATTTTTGTACGAATGCACCAGACATCTTATCCTTTAGGCCACGACGACTCAATTATTGTGTAGCTGTGTTTGGTTATTTACGAAAACTCGTGAGATTATTGCTTCAGTGGAAACTAGCAAATTACGATAACATTTCGTGACCTCAGCTTAAAATGAAAAGACATTTCGATTAAAATCATCGCTACTGTATCAGTTCTAATGTTAACGGATAGATGTCGCTACGCGTTCATTACCTTTGTCGCTTCTTCTGCAAGTCCTCCTGATAAGATGCCATACATAAATCGACACGGCGTGCAACATTGTTTATTAAAGATCTGTAATCAATCACAGAATTTTTTAAGGGACGTGATGAATGTATGATCGCCGACCGCATGAGACTAAGATTTGAATGGTGATTAGTTATCACAGTTGTAAATGTTTCAACATAAATCACGGTTACTTGTCACTGTGCGATGGATCTTATGGGCCCATAGTAACTCTTACTGGTGGTAGGACCTCTTGTGAGTCCGCGCGGGTAGGTACCACCACTATCGCACCGCCCGCCACCGGAGTAGAGTTCATCCATACTACCTGGAGCCACTGCGGTCATCGACAGTGCGTTTCCAGAGGTCTTTTTTGCCACGTACCATCCGGCTATGGAATGAGCTCCCCTCCACGTTGTTTCCCGAGCGCTATGACATGTCCTTCTTCAAACGAGGCTTGTGGAAAGTATTAAGCGGTAGGCAGCGGCTTGGCTCTGTCCCTGGCATTGCTGAAGTCCATGGGCGACGGTAACCACTCACCATCAGGTGGGCCGTATGCTCGTCTGCCTACAAGGGCAATAAAAAATATATAAAAAAAGGCTGCCTATGTCTGCCGTGAAGCAGTAATGCGTTTCGGTTTGAAGGGTGGGGCAGCCGTTGTAACTATACTGAGATCTTAGAACTTATATCTCAAGGTGGGTGGTGCATTTACGTCGTAGATGTCTATGGGCTCCAGTAACCACTTAGCACCAGGTGGGCTGTGAGCTCGTCCACTCATCTAAGCAATAAAAAAAAAAAAAATTTAAAAAATTATTATCTAATTACATGTAGTGGTAAGTCCCTTTTGCAAACAATATTGAAGGTAACATTAAGATGTCCGTATGCGTAATTTTTGTTCGTGATACATTTTCATTGTAACAACTAGATATTTTGTTTGTTTGTGTGATTGTTTTTGTATTAATTTTATATTTTAGAATTTTGTTACGGCGTAACAAATTGTAACGTTTGTTTTACGTTTCTATTGTAACCACTACATTCTTCTACCAGACACACAACATCGCTGGGTCACAAATAACTCAGTGTTAGGTCGACGACTGAACGTCGAGAACTTAACCACCTGCGATCACATCGAATGAAGAAATCGCTGTTCTGTTTGTCTGTCAGCTCTTTGAGTCTGGTCTCGGCACCGCGGCGCTGCTCCTCTTCCTCGGCTCGAAGTCTCTTCACGAATTTCACGTATCGAAATGTGGAATTCAATACTCTTGACGTCTGCAAAACGTTTGCTTCTTCAGAAATTCGTAGGTGAGTTTTGAAGGTCGAGCGCTTCAACCGTTGTGTATGGTAACGAAAAACGGTATTAGGTATAAGCCTTTTAAGCTTCTTGGAAGCATCACAAGAGCTTTTCGGGCTTCTAATTGCTTATAAAAATATTGAAATTAAAAGCATCTTACTGGTGGTAAGACCTCTTGTGAGTCCGCACGGGTAGGTACCACCGTCCTGCCATATTTCTGCCGTGTAGCAGTAACGTGTTTCGGTTTGAAGGATGGGGCAGCCGTTGTAACTATACTAAATTTCAAGGTGGGTGGCGCATTTACGTTGTAGATGTCTATGAGCCCCAGTAATCATTTAACACGAGGAGGATTGCGGGCTCGTCCACCCATCTAAGCATTAAAAAAAAATTATTTCCCTGTTATAATATACTATTTCACAGGTCGTACCCCAAATTTTTTTTTCTTATTTAAGTTTCCCAATAGTTCCTATCATTATTTGATAATCAAATCCATACCCTACACACATATCGCTTTAAGCATCATCTAACTGCACTAAAATCTCGTCACACCATACAGAACCCTCGTCACGTCAGGGCATGGATTCGTCATCACGTCTCGTCACGTCGGGGAAAGAATTCGTCATCATATTATGATGTAGCCCTTACAAGCAAAACTTTGGTAGTCCCACAGTAGTTTTTTTACGTACGTAATAGCAATCTGGGAGTCCCCTCGGGCCAGGTCCGTCTTTAGGTATCTTGGATGCTGGTAGCTTGTTCATTATAATTTTTTTTTTAATACAATCAACGTATTGTTTCCACTATTGTGTCGAAGTACGTGATAGGTAACGTCATTCAAACGTTATTAAGCGTCATATTGTAATGCCATTAATCAAGGTAAATAGTATTTACTGTCATCGTTTGAACTTTGATCATAGATCGCAATTCACTTGAACAATACAGAAACCAGAAACTACATTTTGAGGGTGTAGTCCAAAGCTCAGAGATGTGTTAGTGTGGGTTGTTGGACTTTTGTTTTTGTTGTTAACTAAGACTAACTAAGTAGTTATAGATTCGAATTGAGAACCTCTTTATTTTTAATTCAAAGGACGGTAAGTTGTGATTCACACTGGTGGTAGGACCTCTTGTGAGCCCGTACGGGTAGGTACCACCACCACCCTGCCTATTTCTGACGTGAAGCAGTAATGCGTTTCGGTTTGAAGAATGGGGCAGCCGTTGTTACTATACTGAGACCTTAGGACTTATATCTCAAGGTGGGTGGCCCATTTGCGTTGTAAATGTCTATGGGCTCCAGTAACCACTTAACACCAGATGGGCTGTGAGCTCGTCCACCCATCTAGGCGATAAAAAATAAATAAAAATTGTGAAATTACAATGGTCGACAATGTTTGGTATAGTTTGTCAATCTTCGCGAGTTATTTGTATTAAATTGCATGCATTACTAAATAGTCTTAATTTCTTGCTTTTTGTCTATATTATAGTTACTGGTGTCTATGGACATTGTAATTATAGTCATGTATCATGAAGAAGTCTGTGGTTTCGCGATAGCGTCTGCCCAACATACATACATACATAGTGTACAATAATAACGACCCTCAGTCAATTAAAATCCAGGGTAAAGTTAACTATCTTATATGGGATTTTTTATATTTATTTTTTTATTCCTTTGATGGGTGGACGAGCTCACAGCCCACCTGGTGTTAAGTGGTTACTGGAGCCCATAGACATCTACAACGTAAATGCGCCCCCACCTTAAGATATAAGTTCTAAGGTCTCAAATATAGTTACAAAGGCTGCCCCACCCTTCAAACCGAAACGCATTACTGCTTCACGGCAGAAATAGTCGGGGTGGTGGTACCTACCCGTGCGGACTCACAAGAGGTCCTACTACCAGTAAAGTATCCAACTGCTATCAGAAAATTACAATTCGAAAACCCACAAAAACAGCCCTAACTTAACAAGCGGTGCGATATTAATCTACCAGCTGTCAGTAAAATTTGGAACGTTGAAATTTTTAATTACGCTATTGGCGATATCTTTTGAAACTACACCACTAGCTACGGTGGCGCCGCCCTGGTTAGTCGCGTTACGAGGGACTCTTTTATAAAACAAAGACCGCGCATTTTTACTTTTACCCCATACCATACTTAATATATCTCTACCCTCCATATGTTTAGGGCAATTCTAAACATTAAGTTTCGTATGGTTGTTTTTGAATTTGGGAACACACTAATAAGTGTGGCAACACAGTTAGTGTAAGTGACAATAAAAATTCTAGTCGTACGTACACGTGTTGTACCTTAAAAGAAAATAAAAATGACCTTCGCTCTGAATATAGCTCTATTGAAGCGACCAGTCCAAAATACAGTCCACGATCTACACACCATATTCCGTTACTATTTCACAGTATGGATAAATAGGCCGAATGATGTCCAAAGCTCATTGAACCTTGACATAACTAAAGAAAACTCGGTCTGATTCAATTTTTTATTAAACAACCACAGGGTAGTCTTCACTTAAAAGTATTTAACGTAATTTCTTCTAAATGTGCACCGGAAAATGTTACTTTAATCAATAACATTTACAAAATCTAAGGAACACACGATAATCAACTTTAAGACGATATGTAAAAGGGTGTATTATTACAGTTCTTAATGCGATGTATTTGGCAGATTCACCAGATGACTGAGTGGGCTTCGGCATTACATTAAATTGAACATGATTGAAGTTTCATTATTTTATGATAATAATTTACCCAAAAACCATTACATGTATAATTTGAATCTAATCTTTGATTTGTAAAAATAATCTAGGAAAGACAAAAATGAATGAAGGTAAGCGCGGAAAAAATCTTACAGCCCACATTTTGGAAATGTATTTATTTGCAAATTCAAGATGGCAGCAAAAACTTTGTTTACTATTAAAAAAAACAATTATTGAAATTGAATTTAATAAAGTCATCTATAAATATACTGATACAGATCCCCAGTCACGAGAAATGCCATTTGCTCTAGTAGTAATTTAAATTTCAAGCCCGCAATGTACATCGCACAAAACTCTGGGGTCAATAACTGCACATGCGTTACATCGGTACGTCCTAAAAAAATCTCATAATATAAACTAAGAAATTTGCAAAACTAAAAAAAAGTCAACATTTAAGGTTTAACAAAAAAACAAACTTCTAAAAATAATAACTGAGTTCACTTAATTTCGATTTTTGGATTCATAAAAATCTTTTAGAAAATCAACATCAAACTAAAACTATAACATTTCAAAACTATAATTAAATTTCTGTACCTTAATAATACATAATTAAAAAGGCTTACATTCGAAAGAAAAAAAAACAGTGTCATAATCAGATTCGAGTCATGTTGTCTGCTTAATCATTTATATCATAAACAAAACCCTCAAAAATAATAATATAATGTAGACCAAAAAAAGAAGTTAAAAAAATAATAGCAGTTTAACTACACTTACCTTAGTAAAAAAAAAAAATATAAAAAAACGTTGTAGTACAAAGTAACTAAATAGTTGGTATTATTAAGATTAATAAACAAAAACTGGGATTTAGTCGTCTTAATATAAAGATATTGGTCTGACATAAAAACGAAAGGTTAACGTTAGTTAAAAATCAAATAAACCCAGCAACTAAATAGTTGCTAACAAAAAAAAAAATTACAAGTGGAAAATCGCTAATTTCACATAACTGAAAATTTGCAACTTTTTAGTTGACATAAAATCTAACACGCATCAAAAAAAACGTCAATTACAAAAATGAAAAAACCGCATCGAGTTAGGAAGGAAACCACTCGAAGGAAACCAAATTATGTAAACTTACCCTATGCTTAACAAAAACAATTTATAAGACGGGTTTTAACCCTGAATCGACTGGGTTTACGTCCACGCTTAAAAATCACTGTTTTTTTAAAAAACTACATTAGTAAATGCTGAGTAAATTCTTCCATAATTCTGTCGATTCAGTCTTCCGAGAGATCGAGACATTTTGGTAATGACAAAAAAATGTGTCACATTTTTTTTGATATCTTATATTAATCGCAATGACCAATGAAAGGATAACTTTAAGTCCGTTAACTTAAGTTTCTCTAAATGAATTTTTTAATAACTACTAATATTTACATACAAAAAAGAGCATGTAGTCACAGCAAAATATACTTGTAGTTCTTTGATACATATACTTAACATGTTAATCTACTTATTTATTATAATGAAGAGAAAAAAATTGATACTTCGTGTACATTCATTTTCTTTCAATTTGAATACAAAAGTTTCAATTATAGTTGTATCAAAACTCGACGACTGTTCAGAATCAGACCGGCCAATTCTGAACTCGACAAAAACACTAGTGTCGTATACCAACTCCACATTTTACTGCACTGTTCAGTGACATGGCAACACTGAGCAACTAATTAATCGCCGACAACAAAACGAACTAAGGCATGATTTTGACGAACACTATAATGTGGATGTCGTTTAGCTCCGGTTGCCCGACGACCACCTTGGCGGGAGACTTGACCACAAGCTCGCGGTTGATGAGTCGCAAGTTCGCGCTGTTTGGGAACAAGTTCATTTCGGCGAGCGAAAGCTTTAGGCAGGTCGTATCGTTAACGTAAGGCATTCCCTCACCCAGCTGCGGGACTGCGCCCTCCCAGGAGTAGGGCTCCCCTGTCACCTTGTTGTATATTGTCATTCTAGCAATCTTCGTCGCGGTCTCGTCTGTCGACAGAGTCTGAAAGACACGATCAGGCTATATTGGTATTTACTGGTAGTGGGACCTCTTGTGAGGCTGCACGGGTAGGTACCACCGCCCTGCCTATTTCTGACGTTTCGGTTTGAAGGGTGGGGCAGCCGCTGTAACTATACTTGAGACCTTAGAACTTTTATCTCAAGGTGGACGATGACATTTACGTTGTAGCTGTCTATGGGCTCCGGTAATCATTTAACACCAGGCGGGCTGTGAGCTTGTTCACCCAACTAAGCAATAAAAAATTCCTATTCAAATTCAAACCTAATTGCCTCCACACTTACTATGGTAAGCTTAGGCCATTTTTGCGCTGACGGCCTCAATTAGTTATTTGCTAGCGAAGTATATTATAATAAACGGATATCTTTTGGCTATCAGTGATTTCTTCCTAGTTGTGTACGCCACGTTCAGCGTAGGCTCGTCGGGTGTACTGACGTGCAGGGTCGCCATGAAGCAGTCCGGGTCCCGGTAGCGCGCGCTGAGGACGTAGAGCGCGGCGCGGTGTCGCACGACGCGGCACGACCACGCGCGCCGCCGCGCCACGCCGCCCAGCGTGAACGTCACGTTCCACTCGCCGCTCTCGCGCTTGTGGATCTCCGACGAGTGCTCCTGGTAATCATAACAACTGTTTCTTATATACCCATAGTAATATTGTCAAGACAATGCGGCAAACCAGAAGGCCGCAGAAGTCGTGCCAGGCCCAAACTCCAATGGTTAGATGGCGTAGACCAGCAACTCAAAGTTATCAGTGTCAAGAACTGGAAGGAGAAAGCCCTGAACAGAGCAGCCCGGACTCGAATCAATCCGGAAATACATGAAGTCAGCGTCAGAACGGTACTTTGATAAGGCTATGCGTCACGATAACCGCCTTATCGTTGCCGCCGCTGACTACTCGAAGAATCCTGATCATGCAGGAGCCAGTCACCGTCGACGCCCTAGACACGTCCTTACGGATCCATCAGATCCAATAACCTTTGCATTAGACGCCTTTAGCTCCAACACTAGGAGCAGGCTTAGGGACCTCGGTAACCGTACTCGTCGAACTCGACAAAGAGATCAACGTGCAACCTAACCCATGAACCAACCCGCGGAGTTTCTCGCCGGATCTTCTCATCCGGTAGTAGATTAATTCGCGAAGCAATTACTATTGAGTTGTTAGGTCCCCTTCGGAGGCGCTCCGGCAGCGGTTACCAAATCTCACCCCTTCTGGCTGAACCTTTGCTTGCTCACCTGTCCTAGTGAAACTAGAAAAGTCTCCGTGCCACCAGAATCTTTCAATCATAAAAAAAACCGCCCGGAGAGCCATTCTGGACCAAGTTAAGGCTCACCCTGGGCTGTAAGGTTTAAGATGACGAAGGGACTATATTGCAAAAAAGAAACGACACGCAATGTATCGTGCTTAAAAAAATCATTTACCTTCGCCATCCATTGCGTGTTGCGAAATAACAAATGTTTATTGATTTTTATTATTAGCTTAGCAAATAATTGTAATTTGCGTTCATTTTAAGTATATAATAGTAACAGGATAAGCTTATAAGCTGTTTCACCTTCTCAATGTGATGCTCCAGCATGAACTTGGGTCCGGCCCACGAGCAGAGCAAGCAAAACATCTTGTCATTCATACCAATCCTCTCCATGTAATCCTGGAAAAAACCAACTATAATGTTAACTAAACTAGTAAACTTTCTTCTTCTTCTTTGTCGCTTCCTCATTACTGAGGGATGTGACTGGCTTGGTCTAGTTTTTGCCACAGCTTCCTCCAACGTCGCCTGCATTCGGCCTGCTTAATAGCGTCCGGGACGCTGGTGTTTGTGGCCTCCTTGACAATGTCCGTTCACTTTAAGTGACATTAAAACTTAATACAATAATTCATCTACGAGTAGTATTTTTTATTTTTTATTGCTTAGATGTGTGGACGAGCTCACAGCCCACCTGGTGTTAAGTGGTTACTGGAGCCCATATACATCTACACGTAAATGCGCCACACACCTTGAGATATAGTTCTAAGGTTTCACGTATAGTTACAACGGCTGCCCCACCCTTCAAACCGAAACGCATTACTGCTTCACGGCAGAAACAGGCAGGGCGGTGGTACCCACCCGCGCGGACTCACAAGAGGTCCTACCACCAGTAAGATGTGCTGAAGAATTATTCTATAGGTCTTACCCCGTCCTGACTGATGAGCTCCAATGCGTCCTCCACCATTTCGGGTATAGAAGCATTGGCTCCGATGTCCTGACAGCTTAGCGTTTCAATAGACGACGCAGACGAACTAAGAACTGTAACATCAAATCATGATTAAATCAAAACAACAATTAGATCTTTCTAGAACAAGCAAATGCTCTAGTTCACTAGAAGGAAATTGTAAATGTCAATTGATTGATTGATTGAAAATTCTCTATTGCACAAAAACATTGTACAGAGGCGAGCTTAACGCCATGCAGGTATTTTACTGGTGGTAGGACCTCTTGTGAGTCCGCGCGGGTAGGTACCACCACCCTGCCTATTTCTGCCGTGAAGCAGTAATGCGTTATTACCTGGGTGGACTAGAGAATTCCAGTTTAATTTCATTTTCAAAAGATATTTATGGTCAAAATAAAATTAAAAAAATCAACATACCCTCATTACAATCAAAATTCGTTCCAGCGAATGAAGTTACGTTGTCCCTCTCTTGCATTCTCGGCTCCAATATATTCTGGTATGCATTATCTCGATCGTAAGCTGAAAATTAATGCACTAGTATCACCTGAGGAGTTAGAGCAATTCGTATGGCTAGGCATGCCTTAATATTTACATTATTTAACTGTCTTCAATGCATCACGAAAGACGGACGATAATAACTTTTTTGATGTTAAATGGTTACCGGAGCCCATAGACATCAGCGACTTAAATGCCGCCACCCACTGGCAAGCTCAGTGTGGTACGATTAGCTATCTGATGAAGTGATGACCAAGTGAGAATCCCTGGGTCACGTTGTATGAAGATGGTAACGGACCGGCCGCATTGGACATCAATTGGAGCGGCCTATTGTCATCAGTGGACAGGCTGAGATGACAGCCACCACTACGTGAATTCCGTCACACCTTGTGTATGAGATCGAGTCACAAATGTATAGTATAACTGTATCAGCATTCAAATCCAAAACCCGTTAGTGTTTAGCGGCAGAAATAGGCAGAATGGTGATACGTACTAGTGGTACCCTCGCGTTTATTCTAGATCATCAACCTCCACAAGTCAGCTGATTTCTATCGTGATACATTGCTTGCTGGGCTTAAGGGAATATAAATATCAGGATCTATACAATCTGCCTTAGTTTCTGAGAGTTTAGCTACACCCTGTATGTTTTATTTTGTGTCCGATTTATTTATAATGATATCGACGTTTGAAAGGCAAACGTAACTAAGCGACACTGCGTGAACTTTACAGTAGACTAATTTAAAGTTGAAACTAATTTAAAATATACCTGAAAAATACCTGAAAAAAATTCTATTTTAACGAATATAGCTGTAGGATTGAAATGATTTTAATAGACCTAGAAATATATTTTTTTTGCGCATCGAATATGGATATTGTCTATCATTTATGTACAACGCAGTTCTTGTCGCTTAGTCACGTTTGCCTTTCAAACGTCGATATTAAATACACGGTGGATACTTGAGGTTCAATCAATAATCCGAGACAATATCAATAATCCGAGACTGACAATCAAAACAGTATGGTTTTTTTTTTTGTATTAACACATCAAATATCCACATTATTATTAACAACTCAACTGTACGGATTTTGACAGAAATGAAACAGATGATGAAGTTTTAAAGCAAACAAAATCAAGGTATTATAGAAATACAAACTTACAAGCGCTAAACTCTTTGTAGCCAGCGATAGTGGGGTGCTGTGAGCTGTAAGCCAGTCGTGCAAGCGAAGCGGTTAGTGCAAACATACATTGGAAAACAAAAAACATTTTTGAAGTCACAAACAACGTCAGGCCATATCGTGATCATGAAAAACAAACTGTAAAGTATTAAAAATGAAACAAACTGTAAAGTTTCTAAATCTTATGGAAGATTTTTGAAGATGCAGAAAAGACTGGCAACTTAACATAATTGCTAGAGATGTGGCAAATAATTGGCTAAATAATTGATGTTTTTTCGTGTACTTGGTCCGAACAGTCAACCATCAAATATGTCTATTATATGTATATTCATCATTTATACATCTTCTAGAATCAGAAAAGTGGATATTCGACCATCGTTAATTTTGTAAAGATGCTTCTCTAGTACGGAAGAGTCTTATACGAGAGAGAGTAAGAGCCTCAGGTGTCTGTAGCCCAATTTTATGTTGTAGTCTGTCAACTTTGCCTATACTTTTGTTATTAAAATTGAACATTTTTATTTCATTTTTGAAGCATTCAAAATTAATGTTTGTATTTAAATAAATATATTTCACTATGAATTTCCTTAAAAGCTCAGCAATGGCTCTAACGATTATAAATAAGAGAACATAAAATTGAAAATCAGAGATACATAAATATATTATAGACAAGCCATGTTCTTTTTTCACAAGCAAAATGAATAATGTGAAGTAGCAAGCGGATCTCCCATCTACATAAATAGCTGCAGACACATGCCTGACTGTTTAAAAATGAGTATACTCACGGGGTGGTTATTGTAGGTGTACTGAACACGCATTGTGTTTTAGCTGTGGCACTGTGGACCGGGTTCAGGGGATGATTCGTTATGAATTGGTTCTTGAAATTGTATAGGTTCTCCAATAAAGATATGCCCGATTGATTCACTACGGATGTGTAAGTCGGTGATGTGGCTGTAATTGAAAAACATTCAATAATATTCATTAGATTTTCAGTGATAGCTTTAATTCACAGACATCAGCCTTGAAACAGCAATAATGAAATTGGTTTCTATTATTATTTAACTAGCTGAGTCCCGCGATGTTACCCGCGGTTATTGTCATACCACGGGTGACGCCTAGGGCGAAGCTAGTCTAAAAAAGTAGCCTAAAGTAGCCTTATATCGTCAGGTACCTATCAGTGAAAGTCCCGTCAAAATCGGTCTAGCCGTTCCAGAGATTAGCCAGAACAAACAGACAGACAGACAATTGTAAAAAATGACATTTTGGTGTATGTACCGTATATATAGTCATATGCATGTAGTAAAAATCGGTTATTTCAATATTACAAACAGACACTCCAATTTTATTTATATGTATAGATCATGAACTTAAGCACATGTGTTGAGTAACAAATCAGTTCATTGTGTGTCTGTCTTTATACAACTTGCACTTAGTAATCCTTTTATTAAAAGGAGAACAAGTATCCTCACTAATACACTACAGTTTCATTATGGTAGCATTTGGGCGATTTTTTTACATTAGCAGCATATGAGCATATTAGCATGCAGTTTAATGCTAACATTCACGTTTCTAACTATGTATCTACAAACAAATTTGATGTTGCACCCAGGACTCCGGAACCTATTACTACTAATATTTCTTAATATTAGCGAACTTTAGCTGGAATACTGTAGTTTGTCCTTTATCAACAATATAAGAGCTCATACCTCTTATGTAAATGTAGATTTTAACTTTCTTGAAAAACTTGAAGAAATTTGTAAGGCTCATTAGCACAAGCAAAACTGGTTCTAAGATCATTTGCATTGCAGTATACTTGATTAACCAGTTACAGAAGACCATCATTATGATGACATGGTGGTAGGACATCTTGCGAGGCCACGCGGGTAGGTACCACCACCCTGCCTATTTCTGCCGTGAAGCAGTAATGCGTTTCGGTTTGAAGGGTGGGGCAGCCGTTGTAACTATACTGAGATCTTAGAACTTATATCTCAAGGTGGATGGCGCATTTACGTCATAGATGTCTATGGGCTCCAGTAACCACTTAACACCAGGTGGGCTGTGAGCTCGTCGACTCATCTAAGCAATAAAATATATATATATATAAAAAAAAAAGTTGAGACAAATTGTGACTTCTTAAAAGATTTGCTACAAAACATGGACTACAGCAATTATAATCTCTCGAATGACGTACTTCTTTCCGAATCCTCACTGACTTGCACGTAAATAGGCTGCATCAAATTCTTCTGCTGATCACTATTGAATTTGCTGAACACTTCTGTGATCCGAGGCAAGCCTTTATGCATCTCAGTACAGAAATTATCTTTTGATTCCGTTGTAATTTTCTGATAGTACTCAATATTTGTAAGCTCACTCTGACTTGCCGAATTTTCCAATAGTGCATCGATATCATAAAAATTCTCTGCTGTCTGTACCTCATCACAGTTCAATGATAATTGTTCGATTTTCATGTTATCACTACGTTTTACCAATGACATTTCTGTGTATCTATATCCTTTCTCGCTTTTTTGGGTTAATGACTTTTGAACTAGTGCATTTAATCTTGACATTTTACCATCTCTGCTCGTGATATTGACAGTGGGCGATAGAGGTGTTCTCTGACCGCTAAGAACCGAAATACTGTTGGCTCTTTTCATTTTTCCTGGTTGCAGTGATCTCTGTAAATAAATGCAAATTTCAAAGTATGAGACAGAGAATGTACTATATGAGTCGTCTATTATCAAAGGTGGCAATCTGTGCATTTGAAAAAAAAAAAATTATTGATATGTCAATACAGATTGATTTGAATATAATCGTCTCCTTCAAAGAATACGGTTCAAAGCCTGCATTAAATAAAGGTTAATAGTTAACCTGTTATTTATCTAAGATGTTGTTCCGAAGAGTTTTGTGACCGCCAATGGAATACAAAGTCAATAATTCGTTTTTCTGATTTACCAATCATTGTCCAAAAGTCAGATTGCCGCCTTTGATAATAGTCGACTCATATAATGTACTATGTTATGTTACATAGTACAATGTACTGTGTAATAATATAAACTTTATTGGTTACCTGTACACTGTAGACTCTATTGGGTTAGTAAATTTGTTTAAACAAAGTAAAGGGTTATCGAGTTTATTAACTCTTTGACTGCTGTGTATGTTACTGGTGCCATATATGGCGCACTGAAGTAACTATTTTTTATTATGCACTAGCTGACCAGGCAGACTTCGTAGTGCCTCAATCGATAAATAAAATACCTAAACTTTTGTATACAATAAACTTAAAACAAACAAAAGGAATCCGTCTGACGGGGGACACATCAAAGGGAAAACAAAATTGTTATTTTTATTTAATTCCAAGCATTTTCATATTTATCTACCTTTTAAACCTTCTCTGGACTTCCACAAATAATTCAAGACCAAAATTAGCCAAATCGGTCCAGCCATTCTCGAGTTTTAGCAAGACTAACGAACAGCAATTCATTTTTATATATATAGATAACTTTCTACTATACTAAACGAGATTGGGGTACCCATACTGACTAAATGAATTCTAAGTTACTATATAGAAATTCTTACCATATTAGAATAAAACGGCATCATCTGACTATTGGAATCCATACTTGGATCAGAGGTGCCTTTCAATACAGCTGTAAGATTGAACTTTGGATGTCTACCATCTTGACTGACAATATTGATCCTTGTTGCTTTAGCATTTTCACCTTTAATTATGCCTATTACTGTGTTGTTCATGTTGAAAATCCTGTAATTCGGTCTATTGAAGCTGCGTAGCACTCGGTCACTTTGAAAGGTCTTTATAGACGGTGAGGATTTGAAGCGGTCTATTGAATTATGTTCCCTGCTGTAAGTCATTACCGCTTTGCGATTCGGACTTCGTTTTAAGAGTTTCGGTGTTGAAGAGATTGGTGGAGAGCTATTGCTGGTCGAGGATATTTCTGCGCCCTGAAAAATATCACATAATTTTTTTATTGAATGGTCATCCTAATTCGATCACCCACAAACAATATCTTTAATTCGTTTATGAGTTCAAAACTTGATTTGGTGTCTATATACATTGTTTATTGGTAATGGCAAAATAATTGCATACAAGTTGTTAATTATTAAAATAATTGACCTCCATGTTACGTTTTCTTTTCCTGATATTTAATAACTTATATTATCCACTACAATATTTTAATATACTTTTGCTTTTTACAACATTGTTAAGCTTTTGTCCAGTGTCAAGGGAAAATATCTTGGTCGGTCATTGTTTCCCCTATCTACCTATTCTACCATTATAAAAGATTAATTAAAGTCCACAGATTGGTGCAACAATTAGGAATTTTAATTATGCACCAGTAAAAAATACTTCTTGCATCATTTAATTATACTTCTACCATTGTACATATTTAAAATTTTGTTTAATACGCATTTTTATCATGTTTCTTTGAAGAATTGAGGGAGATTTTTTTTCGAAAATTCTTTCGGTGTAGATACTGGGCCTACTGATGGTTTAATGTGTACATATTGACATCAGGTCATGGTCATCAAGGTAGGTCAAGTGCAAGTGCTTCGCGCGCCTTTTTCAAGGCGTAGTCTCTTGCGAGGAATTCGGGGAGGTGGAGGACCTTCTCGTCCCCCTCTTCCTCTCAGGAGGCGCCGGAGTCCGACATAACCCGGTTCGTTACCCCCCCGGACCGGGTATCCGTAATCTGCTAATGATGCTAATGTCCAATTAAAAATTCTATTTTATTTCTTACTAGACATGCTTCCTAAAGAAAGAACATTTTCATTGTCTAGAATAGTGAACAAACTCAAGGCCCATCTGGTGTGAAGTGGTTAGCAAAGCCAGTAAGCATTATACAATGTGAGTTTAAAATGTAGTTTTGAAACTACAAAAACATGATGAGACAACAAGCAGAATTAAAAATTAAAATTTCCTTTTATATCTTGATGAACTTGGTCAAGGTTTAAGTAATTAAATTTATTTATTGTAATTATCATTCATGCATATACAAATTTCAAGTCTATCGCATGCATTGATGTTGATGAAACTTTTGTAAAAAGATTTCATTTTATGAATTGATATGGCAATGTAATTAAAGCAAATGCAGGTTTTATCAGCATTCACATTCACAATAAAACTTTCATGCTTTTACATGAGAAATATTGTATCCACATCTATGATACAAACCTTTAGCAATACCCAACAGTGCAGACGTGTCATTGGAATAGTGTTTCTTATAGAATAAAAATAAAAAAAAAAACACTCTTCAATTTACCTGCACAGAGTTCTTTCTGATCTTTCCCTTTTTAGCTTTTGAGAGCTGAATTCTCTCCTGTTTAACGCGTTGCACGATCTCATTGAGTTCATTTGAACTTTTAAATTTTTTAGCTATTATCAATTCAATGAGGTATTTTTTCTGTAACAACATATTTAAGTTATAAAAAATATATTGTTTTAATTTGACAAAAGCATCAATTAAAATTACTAATAATCTTTGTTAAAAAGTGGGAGCAAATCAAAATTTGAAAATAAAATAATACAAATAATGCATGTGATTTTTGATATGTACTCAATTCTTGTAAATTACAGCTTTTAGCAAAAATACTTAGAAATACTCATGGCATTAGTTGGATGCTCCTTGATTTGAATATTTTATAGTTTAGAGAGTGTTTTTGAAACTTTGTTGAAAGTGATATATTAAGTATAATTTGTAGGCAACGGCTTGGCTCTGCCCCTGGCATTGCTAAAGTCCATGGGCGACGGTAACCACTCACCATCAGGTGGGCCGTATGCTCGTCTGCTCGCTCGTCTGCCTACAAGGGTAACAAAAAAAAAATTCAGACTGAAAAATCAATGATGTAATTTAGTAAGTACATAATATAAAAATGCGGAAAATAATATTGCCGGGAAACAAATAAATGATTCCGGTTAAGACTACGAAATGCATACTGCAATTACCTACATAAATAACAAATATTATTTGTGTAATTATTTCTTTACTACAAACTTATACATGTAAGTCCGACTAAGTATGAAATTACTGATATATTTTGTTACTGCAAAATAGTCCTAAGGAACTGAATGCGGAATAATCTCAATTAGTAATTAGGTACAAGTTACTGTTGTTCTTGAAACTTCGAAGAATATTATACTATGTTAGAGAGTGGACTGACATAATAATCGTAGAAGTAAGTTTTATTTACCTTAACATTAGACGGTAAATGCATTGATTTAGCCATTTGTTGAAGATTTCTATAGCTTTTATTAAGAAGGGATATTTCGGAAAATTTATGTTGGTCGTCCATTTTCAACGATACAGCGATTACCGTGTTGAATCTTGTGTAGCATCTCGAACGTAATTAATTTTAATAACTACCCGCATTATCCATCAGTTTTCTTATTTTTGGCAAAGTATGTAAGTTTAGTAATTTGTCATTATTTGATTTAAATATTCGCGACCAGTAAAATTGTTGCCCGACTAATATTTTTTTTTTAAGGAATTTTATGACTTGGTAACTAAGATCTTTAGGTCAAGTCTTATTTTAATGTATATTCTTATTTTTATGAAAAATGAAATGAAATGAAGATGATTAATTTGAGACATTAATCAACTGGGATGAAAAAAAATGAAATGAGATAAGATGATTTGGGATGAAATATAATCTCAGTAAAATTGTGGTCATTTACTGAGAATTTTTCAGTGAACTTTTTGGAGGATCCCGAAAAGTTACGTCCAGCGGTTTTTTTATGTTTTCCACATTTGTGCACTTTCACAGATATTAAACAGTTAATAAACCACCGTTATTATACATTTAAACCCGAAGAAACACTAAATAGACAAAATAAAACAAATCACACAACTTCACTCCTCGCGTTCCCGCCAAAAAGTCATTAATATTGTTAAAACACATTTTTAATTCTACAGTTGATACCTGACAAAGTTTACAGACAAATACTAGATTTAGAGGTCAAACGTCCCCAACTGCATCGCTTTGGAATAGAAGATCTTACTTGATCGAATCTTTTTCCTTGGCTAGAGTATTATTCACAACGCCCTTCACACCGCCAGAAACAAGAATGGATGGAGAAAGATCGTGCGTGCGAAGGTGATACAAAAGGGTGGTCACGACCCTCAGCAATGAGGAATACGACGACGCAAGGAGGAGAGTATTATTTTGTCGAAGCTTTATTTTAGTATACAAATTTTTAATATCATGATATTGTTATTTAATTTAAAGATAATTACTAATTAAAAAGAATTCATAAATAATAATTAAGATAATTGAAAATTTTAAATGATTGTTAATTAATGTTACCTAATTAAAAATTAATGATAATTTAATTATATTTTGTAGTAATTGAGATTAATAAATATTGTCATTTATAATTATAGATAATTAATATTTAAAACTCTTTTACAATTAAAAATAATTGCGAAATTAATGATAATAGTTAATATATGTTACAAATTAATACGATTGATGATACGACAAAAATTAATAATTATAGATAATTGACAATTTTCATTTAGATTAATTTATAAGAATTGAAATGAATAATGATTTTTATTTAATAATTAATAGATGAAAAATAGGTACCTATGTAATTGCTGATTAAATATAATTGATAATTTATCTAATATAATTTATTTATTATAATTTACACTAATTAATCCACATATTCATTCTTTACAGTATGAATATACGAAGATGTTTAATGTTTTCGCGTTTCAATGATTGCATTGATCAGCATGAAAATTTTTATATGTTACCGGAAATCTATATAATTCAGGTATTCTATGGAATACATAGGTAAAACCTAAAATATACCATATATATTATTATAGATATACCATAATACCTAAAATGTTAAGATAATGTATGAAATATTATTTTCCAGTATACTTTACGTAATGTATACAATTCCTAGGTATTGTGTAGTACCGCTGGTCCACCGGCAATGCGTAAAATAACTATATTTAGGAAGGTATTTAACAATTTTAAGTAAGTAAGTAAGTAGATGGATATATATATAGACCGAGAATATAAATTTGTAATGTGTCTATCAGTCAGGATCGCCTCACGAAGTTTATGGAAAGCAGTCGACGTCGCCCAAAACACGTCATCTCGGATCCTCCCGATCCACTAACGGTGCTTCTAGGTACTTCAAGCACCGGTCACCGTTCTCGTCGAACCCGTCGCTTGCGACGAAGGGCTCGACGAGTAAATTAACCCACAGCCCACTGAGTTTCTCGCCGGATCTTCTCAGTGGGTCGCGTTTCCGATCCGATGGTAGATTCTGCAAAGCACGGCTCTTGTTAGGTCTAGTGTTAGCATCATCGTCAGGTTTGAGCCCCGTGAGCTCACCTACTAGTTAAGGTTCCGCTGGAATAGCCTCTCTAGGCTACCAGCTTAGGTAGGAAAAAAGAAATACACTTAGATAGTAGCCCTTGCTTCTATCCTCCATACCAGCTACTAATACAGTACGTTGGTCTTACGTAAATTCACTAGCTTAAATTAACAAAATAATAACATTAGATGAAAATGTAATGCATCTTTTAGGTACTCACTTATTCGATCGATATACCGATGGCTTTTAGCGATAAGAACGCCTATTAAACAATTATACCAGCCTGTTGACTGGTTTTCAATGTTAAATGTGTTTTGGTTTGAAATAGCCTATACTTTCTCTCTCTCTCTCTCTTATTTGCCATCTCCCCACAAAAAGCTAGGTAAATGTGCGTCGGTTACACCCTTGCCATTAAGTAAATTAACACTAATATTAGGCTATAAATCTGTCGGGGCACTCGTTCTAATCGGGTGGATGAACTTAGGTAGATTGTGTAGGGAATTCGTGCATGTCAGAAAAACATTACTTTGCTAACATGCATTAGATCACAGATTATAAATACCTAGTATTGATATACTTATTTCTTACCTTTTAAAAAATACTAGAGGTCCCGCAGTAGTCGAAATTCAACTATAATTAATTGGAATTGTAAGCTTGTACACTATTATGATTGTATTCTATACTTCTATAATCACAAATTTCGCCAAGGCTACACTATAAAAAATATTAACAAAGAAAACAATATTTAATCTCAATTTGACAACAGACGTCAAGAACAAAAGTTTGACAATAAATAGTATGCATGCGTGTGTGCGTCAAATACATGGTATGTAGTGTGTGTAAAAACATTACACACATCTTTATTGATTTAATGTATCTTTTATGCATTATTTTAAAAAAATATTAGAACTTCTTCTCTATATTCTCTATAAGTGTGGAAAATTTCATACTCGTCCGTCCGCGCAATTTTCGTAAAAAGGGATACAAAGTTTTTGCTTCACGTATTAATATATAGATAGGTACTTAGTGTTACCTACATATTGTATTGTTAACTATATAAATTTTTTAATATAAAATAATACTATATATAAATTATGTATAAAATTTTGTAAATCTATATACCCTGACAGTGTAGGTATAATATACCGTTTGCTATTTTCGCTGGTTCTTAATGTTTAAAAAATGTAGAGTTGTTTTTTTTTAGAAACTATTTCGCTTTTTTTTCTTGTTACATTAGTTGTGTTTGACGCCATTCTTTTCTTTTTTAATACGAGTTAAGTTCGGTTTTAGAATTAATTCCGTACCATATTAGGTCATAGCGCTGTAGGCTTTAGACACTTTAGTAGGAATACTTTTGGTCTGCTTCTAAAAGCTTCATCGGTTTATTGAAGGCACAGTTAAAACTGTTTTTACCGTTTAATCTTGCGTTTATTCACATTATTTCTTACGTTTCGAATACTTTACAATTTTCACGTTCACGAACGTCTAAGGTATCACTCATCATCATCATCATTCTTTCCTATTACCCTCTGCTGGGGTGTAGGGCTCGAAACAATTTTTTCCATTTATATCGGTCTTGGGCAGTCTGTTCTAGCTTCTCCCACGTCGTGCCCAAGACCCCTAGCTCCTGCTCCACCGAGCGACGCCAAGTTGTTCTGGGGCGGCCTCTCTTCCTTTTGCCAGACACTTTCCAGATCAGTGCTCTCTTTGATAGGTGGGTATCGGGCTTTCTCAAAGTATGTCCAATCCAATGCCACTTCCGCGTAAGGATCTCCTTCTCCATTGGTGTCTGCTTAGTGATCAGTGAAGGTATCACTACATAGTATAAAACAAAGTCGCTTTCTCTGTCCCTATATCTGTCTGTCCCTATGTATGCTTAAATCTTAAAAACTACGCAACTGATTTTGATGCGGTTTTTTTTAATAGATAGAGTGATTGAAGAGGAAGGTTTATATGTATAATAACATCCATTAAATAGTGGAGAAATCAATAATAAATTACAGTTTCCGAAGCGAAGCGAGGGCGGGTCGCTAGTTATTTCTATAAACAAAAGATTAAGCCGTAGGTAAATGTAGTTTTAAGCATTCGCGAAAATCGTTGAAGATATCATCATCATCATTATCCTGCCCTTCTCCCACTCACCTGGGGTCGGAGCAACATGTTTTCTCCTTCCATGCTCTTCTATCATATACCATTTCTTCGCTCACTCCCCTCCTACCCATATCGTCTTTCATATAATCTATCCATTTCTTCTTAGTTCTACCTCTTCCTCTAAATCCTTCCACATTCATAGTTAACACTCTTAACAACCTCATTTTCATTTCGTCTCATCACATGTCCATACCATCCCAAACGTGCACTCCTCAGCTTCTCTGTCACAGGTGCCACTTTCAGACTTCCTCTAACATATTCATAATTAAAATTCAAGAAAATCGTGGTTTACAGTGTCTTCTCACTTTAGTAATATGATCATATTTTTGATCATTTCATATTTTGGCATGATCTCTGATACGTACTTAGGTAGCATTTTTCATTTTGACCTTTTGTTTTCTGCACAAAGGAACGTAATCCATGCTTTGACAGGGATCGGATTTGGATGAAAAAATATACACAATATTAGACATGTTTTAATTGCAATTAATTAAGCATGTGAACATAAAATGGACTAAAGCTTTTTTAATATTATATATTAAAAAAGCTTTAGTCCATTTTATGTTCGTCTAGAATTCATAAGTGGTTTGTAATTGATTGACTATATTCAGGAAATCAATTTATCTATATAAAAATTAATTGCTGTTCGTTAGTCTCGTTAAAATTCGAGAACGGCTGGACCGATTTGGCTAATTTTGATCTTGAATTATTCGTGGAAGTCCAGGGAAGGTTTAAAAGGTAGATAAATATGAAAATGCTCGGAATTAAATAAAAATAACAATTTTGTTTTTCCTTCGATGTGTCCCCCGTGGGACGGATTCCTTTTGTTTG